TCCTACCTGGCAGTAGTACAGTATACAGGTACAGTCTGAAATGGTCCTATGGCAGTGGTACAGTATACAGGTACAGTCTGAAATGAGCCTACTTAGCAGTAGTACAGTATACAGGTACAGTCTGAAATGGTCCTACTTGGCAGTAGTACAGTATATACAGGTACAGTCTGAAATGGTCCTACTTGGCAGTAGTACGGTATACAGGGTACCCAGTCTGAAATGAGTCCTATTGGCAGTAGTACTGTATACAGGTACAGTCTGAAATGGTCCTACCTGGCAGTAGGTACAGTATACAGGTACAGTCTGAAATGGTCACACTTGGCGGTAGTACAGGTATGCAGGAACAGTCTGAAATGGTCCCTATTGGCGGTAGTACAGTATACAGGTACAGTCTGAAATGGTCCTACTTGGCAGTAGTACAGTATACAGGTACAGTCTGAAATGGTCCTACCTGGCAGTAGTACAGTATACAGGTACAGTCTGAAATGGTCCTACCTGGCAGTAGTACAGTATACAGGTACAGTCTGAAATGGTCCTACCTGGCAGTAGTGCAGTATGGTACAGGGAATGGTCCTACTTGGCAGTAGTACATGCAAGGTACAGTCTGAAATGGTCCTACTTGGCAGTAGTACAGTATACAGGTACAGTCTGAAATGGTCCTACTTGGCAGTGAGTACAGTATGGGTACAGTCTGAAATGGTCCCTTGGCAGTAGTACAGTATACAGGTACAGTCTGAATGGTCCTACTTGGCAGTAGTACAGTATACTGAGTACAGTCTGGTCTGGAAATGGTCCTACTTGGCAGTAGTACAGTATGGGTACAGTCTGAAATGGTCCTACTTGGCAGTAGTACTGTATACAGGTACAGTCTGAAATAGTCTACCTGTACAGTAGTACAGTATGCAGGTACAGTCTGAAATGGTCCTACTTGGCAGTAGTACAGTATCTGGGTACAGTCTGAAATGGTCCTACTTGGCAGTAGTACAGTATACAGGAAGTCTGGTCATACTTGGCAGTGGTACAGTATACAGGTACAGTCTAGGCAGTAGTACAGTATACAGGTACAGTCTGAAATGGTCCTACCTGGCAGTAGTACAGTATGCAGTATGCAGGTACAGTCTAGAAATGGTCCTACCTGGCAGTAGTACAGTATACAGGTACAGTCTGAAATGGTCCTACCTGGCAGTAGTGCAGTATACAGGTACAGTCTGAAATGGTCCTACTTGCTTGTAGTACAGTATACAGTATACAGGTACAGTCTGAAATGGTCTACTTGGCAGTAATTACAGTATACAGGTACAGTCTGAAATGGTCCTCTTGGCAGTAGTACAGTATACAGGTACAGTCTGAAATGGTCCTACTTGGCAGTAGTACTTGGCAGTAGTATGTATACAGGTACAGTCAGGTCCTACCTGGCAGTAATTACAGTATACAGGTACAGTCTGACTACTTAGCGGTAGTACGGTAGTCTGAAAATGGTCTACTTGGCAGTAGTACAGTATACAGGTACAGTCTGAAATGGTCCTACTTGGCAGTAGTACAGTATACAGGTACAGTCTGAAATGGTCCTACACAGCAGTAGTACAGTATACAGGTACAGTCTGAAATGGTCCTACAGTCTGGCAGTACAGTATACAGGTACAGTCTGAAATGGTCCTACCTGGCAGTAGTACAGTATACAGGAACAGTCTGAAATGGTCCTACCTGGCAGTAGTACAGTATACAGGTACAGTCTGAAATGGTCCTACCTGGCAGTAGTACAGTATACAGGTACAGTCTGAAATGGTCCTACCTGGCAGTAGTACAGTATACAGGACAGTCTGAAATGGTCCTACCTGGCAGTAGTACAGTATACAGGTACAGTCTGAAATGGTCCTACCTGGCAGTAGTACAGCATACAGGTACAGTCAGAAATGGTCCTACCTGGCAGTAGTACAGTATACAGGTACAGTCTGAAATGGTCCTACCTGGCAGCAGTACAGTAAGTCATTAAACCACTATTAAAAATGAACAGATTAGCTTGTGTTTATTTACCGGTAGTAGCAACCATATTTCAGTTAATGTTAAAAACAGGCAACTGGGACCTACTGGACTGTACTGTACTGTACAGTATTGTTAAAAGTGTTGCAACTGTGAAAAAATTACAGTACTACAGTACTTTGGATGTAGTAAATAACCAGTGACCTTTGGCAAACTGACAAAAGCCATCCCCAACCCTTGTTTGAATTTAGAACCAACAGCTGGTTCATGTAAACATTAGGACCAGCGGGTACACCTTAGATAAATTATAAACACCATCAATTAACTATACACTACAGTTCATGACTTTAGACTCAATGAACCAGTTCATTCCTGCTAAAATCAGAAATAATTTATTGATGGTTTTGTCATTTTGTTGAAACAGAGGTGTGGAGGCCATGGCCTGTGTTGCTTTTAAGTTGATTTAAAGTTGTTGTTCTGCAATTCTAACACATCTATTAACAAAGTTTTGAATGTTCTATAGCAAAAATCCCCAAAACTACTTATTTAGTGACATTCCTGTTCTTGACCGGAATCTTCAACCCCCGGAACTTTCCATCGCCTGGAAAAACAATGAGCATTCTGAGAAAACCCTCTCTATTCCAGGCATCCAAACAAATTTCAAAGAGATTACATCATGCTCTGACACATGCCAGGCAAGTGGGTGGGTAGACTCGAGTGCTCATGAGCTACAACTGGCTACTACTGTACTGTCATCTGACTGTATGGGATGTCTATGATTGGCTGATGTATCTCACAGTCCATCTCCCCAAACTCTTGCATCATGACACTCTTAGTTCATTGTCTATTACCATTGTTCAAGCTTGTTTGTTCCTCACTGCTGTTTTGGTATAAGATTTGTGTTGTACTGTAGCAATATACAATCAACCAAGAATATTGTACTGTTAAAAGAGGGAGAGGTAAAGCAAAGTTAAGATGGATAAAATTATTAGCTATGTACTGTACATTCAATAAGTGTAAAAGTACCATAAATACTGTACAGTACAGTATATACTGTACTGTACAGAGCAGAGTGGACAGTGTATGCCTACTGTAGGCTAGAGTGTGGAGGGAGAAGAGAGTGACAGCAACACCTGCTACAGGAGATGGTACAGGACAAAAGCAGGCCATCCTGTATCATCCCATCACCATTTGACCTGCCTGCACCACAAGCTCAAGACAACAGCATCTGCTGGTGAGTACAGTACAGTATAGTGTATACAGTACTGGTACATTCTGTTTATTTACAATATATTGTATGTATGCAGTAGTGTTTACATAACTAAATACTACGGTATATCATTCTGTGTCTGTCCGACTGCAGTTGAGCCTCCGCAGTAACGGTGGTCCTTGCCATGAGCACAAGAGTAGTTTAGATACAGAAACATTCACCAATGTCCGGAATAATTAGGGACAGCGTGATTTTTCCCCAGGATATAAGAGAACTCATCTCAATACCCGGAAAAACCACTCAAACCTGGAAACGCTCTGCACCATAAATTTTGGCTATGGGAAGATTACTGTACAATGTTCAGGTGAAAGTGGATCCCATAGGCATGACTGCCTGTTAGGGACAGTGTGAACACCAGGGGTGGGTCCAGGAATATAAAAAAAGGGGGGGTCCAAGAAGCTGTGGGTGGGGTACATGGCGAGCATAACAAGCCCACCCAGCTTTGGGGGGGGGGGTGCTGTAAGCCCCCAAAAATTTTTTTCTGAAGTTTGATCAATATCATGACAACTTTGAGCACATTTTTAAGCCATGTGCAGTTGATATTAGGAGATACTCTGAGGTCAATAGTAATTACTTTTTACTATACAAAAATGCCTGGGTACAAAATTGCATTAAAGAAAAAGTATTGTCATTTTCTGATGTAAGGGGGAGTCTGGACCTCCCTTCCTGGATACTGTACAGCACACAGTATACTAAGCCTTTGGTACACAAGGAAGCAGCATGACTGGTACTGTACTCGACCACTTTCACTTCCCCAAGTTTTAAACTTGGGAACCCATTTACAGACGGGTGAACTGGGAGCACCCACAGACCCCCCCCCCCGAACGGAAGGCAAGCGCTGTATTCACTCGACCGCTAAGCTCCATAAATGTACATATACTGTATCATATTAACTGTATACAAGTAGATGAAGGGATTATTTGATGCCTCAACTTACAATAGGTCCTTCCCATAAATAAGGTCTCTGATTTCCTTGTGCAATCACAAACTCTTAACCAGGCTCTTTGTTGTTAGCTGTGGCATTGGTGCCACCTCCTCCTCCTCCTCCTAGTCCTGTCATTGATGCTTTATTGAATCAGTTCCTCTTCCTCCTCCTCATTGAACTGAATGAATCAAGATTCAACTGATTTGTGTGTGGGTCACATATGAGGTGCTCCTCAGGTCCACATGACAACCATACTGAACCATGCATACTGTAAGTCAATCCAGACCATTTACAAAATAAAATAGGTCAAAATTCCTTGTTCGTGTGCAAGTGAAACCGTGCATAAATAATAGTGTAAACAGATGGCCGAGTGTACTGTACAGTGCAGTACTGTACTGTCCTTTTTTATCAGTAGTCAAACCATACAGTAAATATTTATACCTAAACAAGACTTTCAGTTTGGTTTGGTTAATACAAGTCACACCTTAACAGATTTACCTAATTTGTAAGACTCTGAACCAACATTATTTGGTCAATTTATAGTAGTGTCCCGTTCTTTCTTTGGGTGTTAGACATACGTGTAAAAAAAATAGAAAATCACCAAAAACCAACCTAACCTAACCTAATCAGGGGTCCAGTAAATTGATATATTTTTCTTAAGAGATTGGTAAAACAATCAAACTTGAATTATGTCATTTTACACAATATAGTCCATATAGTTAGACCCAAATCAACATCAACAACATGGAGCCACTCTAGGTACAGTACAGTACTACCAATATTAAGACTAGACTCTGACATTAGATAAGTATTTTAATAACATACCTATGTGCTTCTGTACAGGTTAGGTTAGGTTGTAATTATGTTTTTCCGATGGTATTAGTTGTGTCTTGAACGACTCTGACCTTAGTTGGACCACAGAAACGATAATTTGACCAGTTAGAGATGTTGTCTTGGGTCTCCATCTAAACAATGGCAGGTTTTCATCAGGGTTTTCAATAAGACATTTGTTTGAATCAAATTTCCCGGCCACTACAAAACGTGATGAGATTTGTCCATTTGATGAGACACAGTAAAAAAACAAATAAATCAAATATACTTAAGAAATAGCAAGTGACTAAATCTAAATGGGTGAATTCAAGAAGTAAATTGAAGGTTTTTTCCTGTCCCACCCAAGAGCTACATTGTATTAAAGTAATGTTAACATGAAAACCAGAGAACAAATTATTAACTAAGGTGACCCTAGAATGAACATGCTTTTGAGTTATAAGAACACAATGACAACAAAATATTACCATCAAAACTGTATTAATCAATTATATAAGTTAAAATAAAGTGATGTGAGTCATACCAGCTACCACCTACATAGTACACCTGACCTTGTGCAGGGAAATCACTCTTTAACACCTACCCATAATACAATAACATATTAAGGTATATTTTCCCTACTAGTTCTATCAACACACTTCACTCACACATAATAAAACTATCCCGTGTAAGGTGTTGTGTGGTGATCCCCTCCTAGACATATTAGGAAGTTGGGTGTTGTCTTGAGTATTCCAGACTCCTTCTACCACTACTACTGTATTTATTAGTCATGTATGTACACTACGTCCTTCACAGCTTATATTTACATCATTGGTCTTAATAAGTGGATAATATACTTGATAATTTAATGAGGAGCCGCAGGATATGATCTCATGGTCAAATAAGGTGTGTCTAGATGCCCACAATATTGTCCTTTTAAATAGCCATTGGGGTCATGACATTCCTCTTTATTGAGAATAACAGTCCTTAATTCTCGTTATTTCGAGGATCTGTTGGCATGGGTTTCTCATATGGATGTAAGAGGTTACTTACGGTGGGATAGAGGCGTGTGGGAGGTGCAGGGGGGAGGTGAGTGTGGCGGTGCGGGGTTGACAGGTCGGGAGGTGCAGACGCCATTGATCACCGCCCTCTGGTAGCGCGCCATAACACTATTACACATGCTTTACTATTAATGACCTACACCACAGAAAACGGTATTATTATGAGTAACTTAAATATATGTACCACGATATCCCACTCTTTTTCATAATCTTACAATTATTCATCGATAGTATTGTAGTGGAATTCTCCCCTACAAACGCTGCCTAGCCGACCCCACCAATTCCCCAGTGTATGCCTCGTGGTCTAGGTCAACCAGCGCCGCCATACACCACGGAGCGGGGGTCAACTGCTAAGCCACGCCTACCCCCCGCTATTTAAGACCTGACCTCGTGGTGACCTGACTCTTTCTACCTACACCAACCAGCCAGCAACACCTCCTCCTCCTCCGCCTGCCTGGTGGTCCTCTCTCCCGCCGGCGAGCATGGCGACCCACAAGCTGTCCTTCTCTGAGCGTCCTCACCAACCAGCTCTCTCTACATCACGCTTGTAACCACGCTGCCACTTTCCAGCACCAAGCTGCACTGTACATCCAATACAATATGTATACAGAGTGCACATTGTGAGTTTCCTTTCTCCATCCCATCCTGAGTGTGAACCAACATCTCGTACACCACAGGTCACTACTGTATGACCTGAATATGGTGGACACCTGCTGTCCCTAGGGACTTGATCTCGCTCTCCTTTACACTATATATTAGCCTTCTCAAGTATTTCTCCTTAGTCTGTACTCACCCCTGAAGATGTGAATTACATGAAAGCACTTGGGAACTAAGTGTTTTCTTGCTTCCTTATGGTTATCAGCATATACTTGGATCACGCGCACCTACAGTGATTTACTTATACACTGTATATATACTGTAGTGGATATTTCCCCTACAACTACAACCGTCGTTTGTCGCTGACTAGCCGATCCCTTTTCGGGTTCCCCAGCCAATGCCTCGTGGTCTAAGGTCGGCTACTAGCGACGTCTAACAAAGCGAGGTCAGCTATCAAGCCACGCCTACCTCCGCTATATAAGACCTCACCTCACCGTGACCTGCCCCTTCTTCTACCTACAGCCACGCAGCACGCAAAACCTCCTCTGAGCAAGCTCCTCACCAACCAGCTCTCTACTCCACGCTTGTATCCACGCAGCAACTTCCCAGCACCAAGCTGCACTGTACATCCAATACAATATATATAGAGAGAGTGCATTGTGAGTTTTCTTTCTCCAATCCATCCTGAGTGTGAGACATCACGAAACCCCAAAATACTGTATGTATGTGAGTCCTTTCTTCAAGAAGGGCGATTGCCACTCCATGAATAACTATAGACTGGTGAGCATTATAAGAGATGGCAGGATTGAACATCTACTACGGAACAACCTTGTAAAGGACTGCCAACACGGTTTTATGCCGGGGCACTCCTGTTTAACACAATTACTCAAGGTACTGGATGTTTGGACCCGAATTCTGGAACAGGGTGGTAATATCGACAATATATACGTACCTAGATTTTGTCAAGGCCTTCGACAGTGTACCCCACGAAAGGCTGAAAATTAGACTGGAAGGGTACGGGATTCAGGGAAATGTCCTAGTGTGGATCGGAGACTTTCTCCACGACCTCAAGCAGAATGTGGTGATTAATGGCACGAAGTTGTCATGAGTACCCGTCAAGAGCGGGGTACCACAGGGCAATGTATTGGGCCCGCTGTTGTTTGTTTGCTTCATAAATGACATGCTTGATGCTGTACATTCCTCCATACAAATGTTTGCAGATGACACCAAGTTATTTTGGGAAAATAAGAACCAAGCAGACTGTGAAGAGCTGCAGAAGGATCTCTGTGAGCTTCAAGAATGGTCAAAGAAATGGCTGCTAAGATTCAATGTCACAAAGTGTAAGAGGATGCACCTGGGTCGTACCAACGGTAAGGAGGCGTATCATATGTCTCAATGGGATGAAGAAACTGCATTAATTGAGACTGAATGTGAAAAGGACCTGGGTGTATATGTTGACAATGAGCTGAAGTTCTCGGGCCATTGCAAGAAGGTGAATCAGACAACTAAATTATTAGGTCTTATGCGAAGGTCGTTCAGATAGTCTCTCCTCGACTTACGATGGGGTTCCATCCTGACGACCAAGTTGTAAGTCAAAAAGGTAAAAATAATACGTACATAGAAATTCTAAAATGGGTGTCTCTTTTTCTCCTCAGCACCACGAGAACTCTCACTTTTACGCTTGCCAGCCATTTTAAAGGGAATTACAAACGAAAATTTTGTCAGTACACAGCTCGCTCACTAACGTCGGGACTCGAAAATACGTAATGTGAAAAATATTTTATGCGACCAGGGCCGTCGCATGTCCGGGTTGTCCTAAGTCGAGGAGAGACTGTATCTAGACGGTCCATCCCTCATAACAATCTTCAAGAGTGAAGTGCTTCCCCGTCTGGTCCCCGTGATATGCTAGGGACTGTCAGTTGATTGAAAATGTCCAAAGGAGGGCCACCAGATTGGTGCCTGCACTTCGGCACCTCAGCTCCCCGAGATATTAGAGCACCTGAAATTGCCTAGCTTATACCGGGCAAGGGGGGACCTAATTGAGGTGCATAAACATCTCAAAGGCACTACTCAGTCGAGTGCCCTTAGCTGGAGCTGGTGGACGCTCGCCGCACAAGGGGTCACAGTTCAAGGTTGAAGGAGCTGCAAGTCAAGAAAACTGTGAGAGGTAACCTTTTCGGAGTGAGAGTTGTGAACTCTTGGAACAATCTGCCAGAAAATGTTGTGACAGCACCGAGTGAGCTCTTTCAAGAGCAGACTTGACAAACACTGGAGCAGGTTCAGTTACATTCAGGAGCCAGTGCATGCCCAGTACTTGCCAACAGTGACGTGACCAATCAACCACGTGGCTAATGAGCTGATCAGTGGTGAAAAGGATGAAAGATAAAAAGCTGATGCTGCCTTAGGTTAAAATAGGCCACAATTGTCAGGGCGAAGATTTTTGGACTGAGAGTTGTGAACTCCTGTAATAAACTGCCAGAGCGTTGTAACAGCACCGAGTGCGACTCATTAAAGACCAGACTTTGTGGTTGTGTGCAGCAATGGTGGTCCAGTGTTAGCACCAGGCAGCTCACACGGGTACACCACCTTTGACTTACCCCACAGACGTCTGGCCTCTCGAGTCCGTCGTGTCGAGCGAACCTGCCTACCAGCACCTGGTTAATTGAACATTGCTGTACTCACTTTTAGTGAAGTTTGTGTGCTGTACTTTCCTGCCTGCCATTTATATCTAGTGGAGAAAACTCCACAACTTGAGCAACACTGTCACAGGTTCTGATACATTCTGGAGCCAGACATGCCCAACAATACTAATTGCCAACAGTATGTAATAGAGATGTAACTGATTGCGCAAGCGGCTAACAGGCCAATCAGTGGAGAAAAGGATAAAGTAAAGTAAACCTGTTCTAGGTCCAGCAATCGTTTACTTAGGCATACTTAAAAAAACCCTGTCCCATCCATATTTAGAAAATGCTAATGGCATCCTCACAATATAAATCAGTGGCATTGGTGGAATCAAAAGTGCTCACAGACGAGTAAGAAATTGGTCAGGGGTGGATCCAGGAATATAAAAAGGGGTAGAGCTCCAAGACGTTGTGGGAGAGAGAACATGGCTAGCACAGCGAGCCCACCCAGCTTGGGGTTTTGGGGTGGCTCTGTAAGACCCTCCCAGAATATTTTTTAATGTCTGACAAATATCATGGACATTTTGAGGCCATGTGCACTGCAAATTTGGAAATATTCTGGGGTCAATTTTCTGATGAAAAGGAGGAGTCCGGACCCCCCCCCCCCCTGGATTCGCCCTGGTAGTACCCTGGCTGAGAAACATAAATATTGTTACACAGACCGTCCAAGGAAGCTGCATGACCTTATCAACGGAGTACCCCAAGATTGTTGAAGGTATGATCAAGACTTTGTCAATAGTAACAGACAATCCAACTTATCAGGAACTTGTCATGAGGAAGCACACCTGAAACTGAGACCACTTTTATAATGGCAATGCAGAGGTAAATTTATTGGATTTATGCTGTTCTGGGCACATGCATAAACTAGGTTGAGGTGTACTGGCCAGTCATACATGTTAGTTACCGTAAAATCAGAGGATTCATATTACGCTTAATAGCCCATAAAACATGTAGCTATAACTTCTTTATGGAGTCCCCCAGTTGAGACGACCATTTTCTCACAGCTTCAGTACGCCTGAGACCTCGGTTTCTCTCGGGTACTTTGGAGACTGTTGATATCTCTTAATATCCCAGATGATGAGTTAGAATTGAAATTTACGAATGCATGCGATGTGTTACCTTAAGTTAGATACGACAACAGCTTTATTAATTGCTCTCACATAAAAATAAAACAATAATTGAAGGGTAAAGTTGTTCATTATCTGATACTAATTAATTTAAAATTACACATCCAGCACAAGACTGTAACAATTATACAATGGAAATGAAGTATATATTAAGAAATATGATTTATTTATAAATGTCCAAACACCTTTTAAATAATGACACACACAAAATTAAACAGAAATTAATAATTTTCACAAACTTTAATTATAAGAATAAATTACAGCACAAAATTATGTGAACTGTTTAATTAGGTTTATAACATAATTGTTTAATTTATATTTTTTCTTCAACATTATCTTACAGAATGATGCCCATGTCTGAGTTCCTTCACACACTTTCTAACAAGCTTAATGTGCTGTATTCTAATCCAACAACTACTGCAAAAAGTTTTATCAAAACTTAGAAACAAAAAGCTTTACAATTAGATTTCTGTAAGATATAGTAAAGCCAACAGATTATCTTAATTGGTGGAAACTCTTCTGTTGCGGTGTCATGTGCATTTCTCTTCTTATAGGCTACCAGTAGTATTCTTCTTGGTACAGTGTTACAAATTAAGTGTCCAAACACTTAAACTCTTGCAGCATCTTTCTGGTACTTTCATTGGATTGGAAAAACTGCTGGAACACCTCTTTTCCTTTTCTGAAATAGAGAAAGAACTGTCAGCTGATCTTGAACACCACACTAAAGTTGCTGTTATGGCCAAAAATACTTTCGGCAAACTTTAACTATATAAAACTAAGGTAGACGTTCCCATTAATGAAGCAAACTTTCTTGTTATATTCTTCAAGAAATGCAGTGAATATTGTATTTTGTTTTGTACACAAACTTTATATTAATCAAGTATTCTTAAAATTATTTAATGTAAATTACTAGACCTTCTCATTTTGCAGATCTTTTCGAGATGTTGTGACTTTTCTGAAGCCTTCACAAGAATGGAGTGTGGCACTTGAGCAAGACGTGCCACGTTTAACCCGTAACTTTGACCTGCACTCCCAGAGGTCAGTCGGTACAGGAAGGTTATAATATCAAAATCATCATCTTCTGTTGAGAAATAGAAAACAAAGGTATCATCAGTACAGTCATTACTTGAAGAACAATACAATGATATTCTATGTTGGGGTAATAGGGGTATCCAAGTACCAAATGAAGTAATATACAGGTACTACCCGACTTACGACGGGGTTAGGGACCGACATCCAGGTCGTAAGTCGAAATGGTCGTAAGTTGGTAATGCTTAAATAACACATAGAAAATTGAAAACTTGGGTCTCTTTTTCTTCTCAGCACCACAAAACACTCACTTTTAAGCTTGCCAGCCATTTTAAAGTGAATTACAGAAGAAAATTTTGTCTGTGTACTGACTTTGGGACTAAAAAATACATAATTTGACCACATTTTGGTACGACTGAGGCGGGTCGTAAGTGCGGGTGGACGTAAGTCGAGTCGGTCGTAAGTCGGGGAGTACCTGTACAACAATTCCTGGCCTATCTGAAGGGTAAAGTTCCCACAGACCTGTGAAATGTAAATATTCTACTGTAAATCAATTGTGCCTATGGAGGTTACATTGGAAGTCCCAAAACATTACCTTGAATTTCACCTTTTTTTTACTTGATATGTAAAAAAAAAATAAATAAATAAATAAATAAATAAATAAAAATAAATAAAAATAAATAAATAAAAAATAAAATAAAAATAAATTCAAATAAATAAATAATAACAACTCAGAAATGATACAAAACAATGAGCTATGTCTAAGGAGTGGTGACCAGAAAATGTACATACTGATGGTGGTGGTGGCTGCCTCTATTACTGATACATTGCCTGATTTTGCCATCTTGAAACTGTTGACTCCAAGACGAATTTGTCAAAATTTCATAAAATATCCACTGCAAACTTAGAACATTTTTCCAGAAGTAAAAAACTTCATCCAGTAGGTGATTAAAGAATACTTACTTCAAGGAAATGTTTAACTCTTTTCTGGTATCTTTGAAAGGATTTACAGCTTGCTACAGGCAATGGCTGTATCCTTGAGCTCTACATTACCAAAGTCCAGCAGTAAATCACAGCTCCAAATGAAAGCCATGGAACACTTACCAGGACTTCTTGTTTATCTTAGTACAGACCCAAGAGAAATTTTAATTTCCTTTGGTAATTATTGATCAGTGTAGAACTGTAAAGTTTACAACCCTTCACTGCTGTCTTGGCTTGTTTACAACATAAACAAGCCAAGACCCCAGGGTCCATAATGAGAGACCAGGTCTCACTATGTATCAGGGATCCTTTCAATCCCTCAGTCTATTAAAGACATTTTACATTCATATTTGTGAGGGTAAATGGTGTGGAAAGTGAGGAATTTGTGGTGAAAGTCCATCAAGGGTTTGTCTTGAACCCCTTTAGTTTATCATGGTGCTACGAGCACCATCATGAGATTTGATGTCTTGTCAGCCTTGAGAGATTGCTTGCTGATGACTTAATAAATAGTACTGAAAAGTTAGTGGTTATATTTAAGAAATGGAAGGATGGAATTGGGTCAAAGAATATGAGGGTAAGTGTGGCAAAAAAAATACAGTAGTAATCATCAGTGGCATGAGTAAAGGACTTGTGATAGAAAATGGAAATTGGCCATACTGTACACTGTTTTTATGAAGGACGTTAGCAATGAATCAATAATATGCTGTGAGTGTGGAAGGTGGGTACACAACAGGGGCAGTAGTTTAATGGCAGACTATGTGATGTTCTGACTTTCAGTGTGTTTAGTAATCATGTGGCCTTAACAAGACTGGAAAAGTTTGATAATGAGGATATATCCTTGGATTGTGTCAATGAGTTCTGCTACCTGGGTGACATTATCACTGCTGGAGGTGGTGCTGAAGCCAGCTCAGATGTAAGAGTCAGGAGTGACTGAAATAAGTTTGGATCACCATTAACTCTGCAAAACATATATGCCAAGTGAAGGATACTGATTCTTGCCTGTACTGTATACATTAGCAAAAACCTTGGAAAAGACAGAATATGCAACTGCATAGTGCAATTAAAATCAAAATAATGTTAAAAAAATCATGGACCTGAAAAATACTCCTGAGGTAAGAGGCACAGCATTTGTCTTGCAAGAGAAGGGTCATGGGTTTGGCTCTGGGCTGGAGTAGAGGACTGGGTCCCCTCCTTATCCACTCACCACTAATATGAGTACACCTCTGGGTGTCCTTGCCAATAGTGGAACAACACTTTGGTAGACCAGAATCCTACCATCGGTTGGGGTAACTCATCAACTACTGAATATTAAGAACTAAAAACAACAAGTGTCCAGTCATCCTACATGAAGGCAGGAAAATGATTGCATATAAGAAAAAAAAAAATAAAGTTCTCTTCATGACACTATTATCCGAGCAGCATGGTGTTCAGCACAAGGGAAAGGAACACACATAATGATGTTACATTCTATAATAATTTAATCAAAACACAATCAACCAAAAACTTTGGTGGAGAAAATATTATATCTTATTTGTTGGTTTGACTCATGAGCATAGCTAGAGGCCAAAAATATTATTGGAAGGAACAACAAACAGCAAATCTTACACAAATCACATTTAACAAACTAACCAAGTTCTACAGAGCAAAATGGACAGACATTCCAAGACAACAAAATATACAAATTTCAACTCAGAAGATATTAATACAAACCTTTTTCATGAACAATGAAGGACATATGAAAGTTTCCAACATGGTCCGGGTACAACTTCTCAAACTCAGTGAGAGGCAAGTAATGTGTCACAAATATTGTGAGACACTTTACCTGAGGATTAGAAACAAAAAGATTCAAATTACTAACAGAATACTACATTACGTACTGATGTGTGCCACATATAATACAAATAAAGGACTCATCCCAAAGTCCATCTTATGGCTGAGCCTGAAACTAAAAGAAACATGAATTAACAAGTCAAGAATCATGGGATGCTTCATTGTGTTTTGCATCAATTAATAGTTCCTTGAATATTTACAACCTTTGCAGATAACAGCAAAATTTTCCCTTAAAAAAGAACAGAACTAAATATAACATTCCTTGATTTAATTTTGTAAATCAACACATTAATATTATTCATGATATGACTAAAAAGATATGTATAAGAGCTACAACATCCTGTGGCATGATGTACTGCACCTGGTTAAGGAAGTAGTCAAGAGCTGCCATGGCAACGGCCACACCATCATGCGTAGAGGTGCCTCGTCCTAACTCATCCAAAATCACAAGGGAATTGGTTGTTGCTTCTTGCATGATGTCTGCAGTCTCCCCAACTTCCACCATGAATGTGCTGCGCCCAGAAAAGATCTCATCTGTGGCGCCCATTCTGCCATTAAGAGAACACACAATGCTGTAGCTCAGAAAAATTCTAAATTTGTGCAATAAAGAAAGATCATAAGGTCCAAATGATGAACATCAATGTGCAAATCTACCTCTTATGTCTGAGAAGCACTTCACTTCTGTTAATGGGGGTGCATAACTGCATATGTAACTATATTGTAATGTCCAATTCTCTCAAGTCTAATAAGTACTTCATTTATGTGAAATACAGTAAATGAAAACAAGGAAAAACACAAGTTTGAGCTCTGCTTTTTAGGTTTAATATTTATGACATGAATAATGAAAACTCCAAAATGCCACTACAATATTCTCCAAAGCCCAGGTTGAGATTCTAGATAGTGTAATGTTCACCCACCACAGGATGTCTGCAACTCCTGTATGTGAGTGTGTGTGTTGTAACCTCTAGTTTCTCATTACCAGGTACTTTAAACGTTTTTCAACCTCGGCAAATTTGCACTGCAACAGCTGTCAGGTTATGAGTCTCCAGTAATGGTGGAGGAGACGGTTAACACCAAAAGGAACTTCAGAAATTTAACCAAAATTTCCAGATATTATTTTGCTTGGTACTAATGAAGAAAATCCATACGACAATGTACAGAAACTAACAACACCCGAGTTAACCAACTAAACGTAACTTCCTAACCAGGGGCTCTGCCATATAAAGAAGAAGGAAGTCAGCTTAATAATGAGGTGGATAAAGTGCAGCAATGGCATCGATGAAGTGGTGAAATATATCTCCTTCACAAATCAACGACAGGATTTCTGTCTACTTCCACCTCACGGTACATGTGGTCAATTGTTCTATTTGTTTGTATTCACAACTTTGTTAAACACAAAAAACTGGTAATGGAAAGTTTAGTGTTCAAAAACCACACACTATACCGTACTAGTGAATGCACTTTCCTTCAAGCAACATACTGTAATTTTATGTCTTTTGTGGACACAAGAATATGCCCGTGTGTTACATGAAAAGAAGTAATACTGATTTAATGCAAATTCCTTGCCAAATTTTACACACTTGCACGTCCTTCCAACAAGACCAGGTTCACAAATGAATAGTTTTTAATCGTCTTCATCCTCTATAACCTTAGACAGCTTGCAATAACTCACAAGAACATCCACTACATGAAGCTATAACTGAGTACAATAGTTCAAATGAAAAAGTGAAAGCATTCCTCTGAGGAAGAACAATATTAATATGAACATACAAATGACTTGGAATTCACTCATACTCAAAAATCAAATATAAGACATCCAAACCCCCAATCTAAGATTCAATGCCAACCACATGAATCTTATCCTGAATACGTAGTGGATGTTTTGGAACCTATTGCATAGTATGGACAATATATATAAAGGTATTTGCACAGACACAGAGGTGGAAATCAGGAAACCGATTCCTATAAAATAAGAAACAAGACAATCAAGTCATTAATTACATCTTTTCTTTTACAAGTACAGTTCACAAATACTGGATTCACTTCCTTACAGCTTAAGAGTGCACCAGCACCATGATCACCATGGTAGATTTGACCGCCATGCTTACGGTAAAAACAGGAATTTATTTATTCGCCTACAAAGCCTGTACAGATGTCAAAGTACTGTCACATGATCAGTTTTCTGCCATGTTTTACAGCATAAATTCCCTCTTTTTTCATGAACTGCCCATTAATAAGGAATCTATGATCAAACAATGAAAAAAAAATATATATTGAAGGTTATTGTATTCTTTTTATTACTACTAACATCCGAATAACATCTGAGAAAAATCTATAAGCTCCTCCTGGTGTTAACCATCTGCCCCTGCCCCTTCTACATCAGATCTACACTGACCACAAGTATGACCAGCTGGCAACACAAAAGTGTGAAATCCACCAAATGGCAGCTGCTGGCATTTGTAGCTGTGATCATCCCACCTGCTCCCCAGCCCTCCCTTCATTATTGGTGCTTTATACTGTATGCTCCCTCTTTATGACAGTAACCTGTTCACATTTTGTTGTATATCCCATTTCTATGTTACAAATGTTTTATTCTTCAAAAAGATTCAATTCTTATGTCAAGTTAAAATTAAAATTATGATCCTTCGATAAATATGGTAAACAGGTTCATTCAAATAATGTTAAGTCCGAATTGCATTACCACATATTTCTACACAGAAACCTTGTAATAATGTCTGACTTTGATCCATGAATTTTTCCCAAAATATCCTCTTCCAAGAGTGTGAACTGCCTGACCTTGTTTACTGTGACCACTAACTTCCTCCCCACATTTAATAACAATGCCTCACATGATCTTATCTAATATAAAGATAAAGCACATATGCTCAAATAACACTTCCCACTACTGATTTACCTAAACTGGACTGTCCATTACCACCCTACTGCTTGGGGCAGCTATAGGCCCTAACAAAGGTGGCCACATACAGTGCTATGTACTACTGTATTGTATCTAAAGAATGCAAAGTTTCCCTTATGGTTGTACACTGGCTGTCTCCATATCAAAAGCAGTTTATATGTATTTTACCGAAGCATATTCATGGAAGAGATTCTGAAATTAATTTTCCTGTGAATACTTACGGTAAGGTGTCTGTCAACTGAGAAGTTTGGGACAAAAATGCTTCTGTAAATTGAATAATTAAATAACGTGGACACTACTATAAACATGTGAGCAAGGAAAGGTAGTACACCACAGTTTCTGCAAATACCTGTACACTAACATACTCCATTAATCTCTAACACACTCGTTGTTATTAAGTTGAAAAATAAACATTCAATGTGTCAGCCTTATCATACAATGATCATATAACTAACTCATCACACACACACACACACACACACTCACTGAGACAGTTGCCTCATTATCTAATTTCTCTTAATCTATTCTTATGTAATATGAGAAAAATTAAATAAAAGAAAATTATTTCATTAACTTAAATTTCAACATATAAAATGTTCAAATGTTTGTAAATATGTTGATTATTTCCCAAAGGAGCTTTCCAGTTGAAAGATACTCACCAAACTAATGAATTATATAATGTGCAAGAAATCCTGCACCCCACACATGGTAATTTCCTTGACTTTTAGTAACTTTATGTCTAACATTTGTGGTTGGTACCTCTGCTCACCCTGGGGCCTCAGGGGAAGCCACAACGATGTGTTAATTTTCTTATAACTAGTTTAATCTGAGAAAGTTTTGCAGCTAATGTTCTGCATCATATAAAAATGCTCAATATCACTAAGTTATGTAAAAAAATGACTGCAGAGAGCATAATTGATTTACAATTTGCAATGCCTGTGGGGATGTAAGGCAACAGTTTGGACGGGATCTACTACATCATCATTATTTTATGGTCATTTCTATGCTGAACTTTATCATATGTTTCCATGCGTTAACACCTCTCTCCTATCTATAATTTCACTTACATCTTCCACTTCACATTCAGTCTTTCCCCACATGTTTTTACTTGCCTGGTATATATTGCATCCAAAATTGACATTTCTACTGATTCTGCAGGTACATAGCTGCCAATCTGTGTCATTAGAGCTATGAGTGCCACTTGCCGCATGTAACATGACTTTCCTCCCATATTTGGTCCAGTAACAAGCATGACACGCTGATCCTCAACCTACAGAGAAAAGGTGAGAACATTTTAAACACAACATAAGAAATGGTTCACTTAATGAATCTACAAGTGTTAAAGAAATATACACATAAGTTTATACACTACGTTTATTTCAGTAAACAGTAATCTCTCCATTGGCAGGAAGGAATCTTTGATCCCCGGAACTCTACATTACCCAGAAAAATTGTTTTGAGCATTCCAAGAAAACCTCTCCATTCCAGACATTTGAAAAAATTTCCGAGAGATTGCATCATGCACAAACAGCATGTGGGTGGGTAGGTTTATAGTACTAGTGAGCTGCGGTTGGCTACTACAGTACTGTCATTTGACTGCATGGAATGCCAATGATTGGCTGATGTATCTTGCAGCCTATCTCGTCAAACTCTTCCATCATGACACTCTTGGTTCTTTGTCTGCTGCCAATGTACAAGCCTGTTTGCTCACTCATTGCTGTTTTTACGTACAATCTATGTCGTGAGGTACAGTACTGCACATTACTGTACAATGTACCAGGATATAATCAACCAAGAATACTGTTAAATTAGTGTCAAGATGTAAAAAGTGATTAGTTACATATACTGTACTGCACATTCAGTAGGTGTGAATATACTGTACATAGCAGAGTGGACAGTGTATGCCCACAGTGGACTAGTGAGTAGAGGGTGTATATACAGTGTTTGTATAATCCCTCCTTCGTGGAGGGAGAGGAGAGTGACACCTGCTACAGGACAAAGGCAGGCTATTCTGTATCATCATTTGGCCTGCCTGCATCACCAGTTTAAGATGACAGCATTTGCTAGTGAGTACAGTATACAGTAGTATATTTTGTTTATTTACAATATATTGTACTTGTACAATAGTATTTGCATAAATAAATAAATAGAGCTCTGTGTCTGTCTAAATGCAGTCTGACACAGACACATTCACCAGTGTGTGGAAAAATTCTGGGGAAGAGAAAATTTGTCTCAATACCCGGAAATCTCTCAAAACCGGAACTGCTCTGCACCAATTATTCCGGCTAACGGGGAGATGGAGATTACTGTACTTGTAATTAAATTTTTGCCAGTTTAATTGTACCTTCATATCAGTATCATTCGCAACATACTGCTCATCTCCGAGTTTTAGCTGACTAACAACTGGATGTCGTCCCTCCACTATCTTCAACTTCCCTCCATTGCTCTCGCTGGAAAAGACTTTGGGCCGACAATAAGCCTGAGCTTTTGCTACATTTGCTAATGAAATCAGAGCATCAAGAGCAGCCAGGCACCTTACTGCTCGACGATGGCGCTGGTAGTGACTGGAAAATGATTCTAAGACGTCCAGCCATACCTGAAGTGGAAAGTAAAAGTGAATTAAACAAAATACTCATCTTGTATTATCATGGTAATACTGTACTGTGTAGTGGTTATTGCATCAGGGTCCTGCTCTAGTTACCCATGTTAAATCCCAGGGCACAGTATACCAAGTGGGTTATGAGAAGGAAAATGTTACACGTTATGGTCCTTCTGTTGTTTTATGGATGGGAGGGGGAGAGGATAAATATACAATTATAAAACAGAAAGGAAGAAATGATTGATCAGTGTGATTCAATCTGCTGAACTTCTTTAGGAGAGCCTGTCTGTTGCCAGAGGGCGCATCATATTTAAAAACAGGATACACTATCCAGGCAGACAAGGCCAGGCAGGATTTTATATTTCAAGCAGCATTTTCCCACCCAGTTTTATCAGGGCTAAAAATAAACTTAATCTTATTATGATCCAGCGGTTCCTTTAAGATCAAGGCACTGAAATTCTCTCAGTTCACAAAAGCAATGTGGGAGGAGGGAGGGAAACCAAGTTGCTTGTTTCTTCCACTTCAATCATAAAATGGAGCTTTAAACTTCAATGTGAAACCTATGATATTCTAAACCAGCAAGGAATGGAATGGAGGAATTCACTGACAAAAGGCTGTTACATGCGCCCTAATTAGGTAGTATTACTTTTAAAGAAAAAATTAACTCAACGTATAACTTCTGCTATCAATAGATTTCACATTATTTATACTTTTTACTTTTATCCTCTTCACCACTGATCGGCTTGTTAACCACTTGGGCGATCGGTCATGTTTGTGTTATGCACTGTTGGCAAGTACTTGGCATGCACTGGCTCCTGAATGTATCTGAAGCTGCTCCAGTGTTGGTCAAGTCTGGCCTTGAAAGAGCTCTAACTCGGTGCTGTCACAACTCTCTGGCAGGTTGTTCCAAGAGTTCATAATTCTCACTCCAAAAAAGTTTGCCCTCAAAGTTGTTTGGACTTGCAACTTTTTCAACCTTCAGCTGTGACCCCTTGTGGGGCGGGCGTCTGCCAGCTCCAGGTATGGATACTCGACTAAGATGTTTATACACCTCAATTAAGTCACTCCTTGCCCATCTGTAGCATAAGCTAAGCAGTTGCAGGCACTAATCTCTCTGGATAACTGAGGTGCTGAAGTAACAAGCACTAGTCTGGTGGCCCTCCTTTGGACATTTTCAATCAACTGACAGTCACTAGCATATTTTGGGGACCAGACAGAGTGACATACTCCAGGTGGGGAAGCACTTCACTGTTGAAGATCGTTACGAGGAACAGACCATCTAGATATCTGAATGACCTTCTTTTAAGACCTACTAGTTTAGTTGATTGATTCACCTTCTTCTCACAATGGCCCAAGAACTTCAGTTCATTGTCAACATACACGCCCAGGTCCTCTTCGTATTCAATCTCTATTAACGCAGTTTCTTCGTCAAAAGTGACCTTTAAAAAAGCCTTTAGCTGATTACCATACTCCTGTACCCCATTTTGTTAGACGTTTTCTAAAAAAGGCCACAGATAAGAAACACTTCTTAATCATATGCAATATTTGAGCAGAGAATAAAGAAAAATTAATTAACAGTTACAGATGTCCAACAGTCAAACACCTAGGCACTGCATCTTCTGCTGTGACAAGATAGTACTAAAATAACTTTAATGATTGAGACTCATGACCCCAGCAACACCAAGAGCCGGTCATGAACTTAACAGCTGGCCATCTACCCTCTCCCCCCCCCCCTTTTTTTCTCTCTTCTGCAACTTAGTATCACAAAGTTGTAAGCTTGTGAGTAAACAGGATATTGCCAGGATTTGTTTCCCAATAGTTTGGTCACGTCCACTCACGGGTAAAGGTGTTGCCATTATCCCCCTTTAGGAGTGATATTTTTTCTGTCTTCCGTGATTAGTTTGTAAAGAATTTTGAGAGGAATTAGTTTATAGTTTTGCCAAGAGAAAATATTTAACTATGGTTCAAAATTTTTAAATGAAATAAAAAGAGCTTGAAACTAATAAAGAAGACCAAGCAATATTCAAGTACGTGTAAGATTATCAGTGATGAAAACTGTTGATCCCTTTAATGGGTCTGAGAAGAAAACCCAGCAGCACAAATCCCATTAAAGTATATTATAATGACTTAGGTTTCCTCTTTAGATTGTTATCCATTAGAGTATCTGTTGGCCTTGCTGACAAACAACACAAATGCACAATGTAAATCATGATAAACACCAGAGTGAAGGTGTGGGTCCCATGGGTCTGGCCAGGTAGTGTTTGGCCATCATGATAAACACCAGAGTGAAGGTGTGGGTCCCATGGGTCTGGTCAGGTAGTGTTTGGCTATCATGATAAACACCAGAGTGAAGGTGTGGGTCCCATGGGTCTGGCCAGGTAGTGTTTGGCTCCAGTCCACTGCACGACATAGCATGAAAATGTAGTGTTACCAGTTTCCTCACATCCAGATTTTACACATTAAAGGTAAAGACTGACTGCACTCAGGTTCACAGACAGACCCACACATGTACACAGATTAAGGGAAAAAATACCTCGTGGCTAAAATGGCAGAGGGTTCAAATTACATCTTGTCCACATTAATCTTTCTCTAGACATCTATCGCCCTATACTGAGAATAATGTTTTCAACCCCACAGCAAAGATGCATTAAATTAGGTTTTACTTTTATAGTTTACATTTCATCTTGAATGCACAAATGGATCTCCTCCACCCAGTCTCCCTCCCTCCCGTTCTCTCTCTCACTTGGTATAACCTGTTAGACAATGCAATACAAACTTTACACACCTCATGACAATCAGCTTGTAGTTGTTCTCGTAACTGTTGTAGTTTAGTGAACAGGTTTACAATTTCTGGTGACCTAAATCTACAACAAGCCTTTGTTCTGTGAAAGAGAAAAAAACGTATATCATATGAGATTAAGAAGAGCAGTGAATGAATCATTTATTGCTTACGAAGAAGCTGGCAAAAGTGCTCAGTGACTCAATATGGGTAACACCATGAAATACCCTCTCTCAGGACACATCAGTCTCTCGCCAGTGACACTCTTTCCTGGGACTCCCTACAATACCTCCCACTCTCCTCTCAACAACCTTTGATCTTAAACACCCTATCACAGTCACTCATCTCTCACACTAAACCTTTAAACAGTTACTCAAGTCTTCTCACAACCTCATTCCCCCTCTCTCTTTCTCACTACATTATACAATTGCACTCAGTATAACCTATTTTTTCTCTCTACTTTTGATATGATCCATAATATTCTGCCAGGTGGCTAACTGAAGGAAGTGAATGTGGTAGAAAGACATATAGAAATAATCCTATTTATAATTTCTTGCACATTAATAAATCATGTACAGTTGTGGACAGAAATACTTCAGTAAGGAGGGAGGGATGGATGGAAGTGGTGTATGAGGAGGGTAGGGGCAGGTGAAGACTTGGCAACATCGCTTTGAGGTGGCAAAAATAAGTCTGCAATTTTCTTTCAAAGTCACAAATTTTTGTTTTGTTTTAATGAGGCAGCCACAGCTTACACTCCCTCCCTGCCAAATTATTTTGGTCCACAACTGTACATTTAGCTCACTGGGATATTAATAGGCTATGGTTAATATCTAAAACCAAACTTTCTTAAATTTCTCCCTATAAATTCTTTCAAGCCTTTTTCCCTCAGTGCATGAGATGGTCAGTATGAGGAGCAATATACTCTAGCATTACTCACTTATCACACAGTCTCTTCTATTACATTAATTGTAAAAAAAATTATTTACTTAAGAATTTCACAAACTGTAAAGAACTTTTGGTTATGCCAAAACATATTGTTCTCAATACATACGAGCTGATTTTTGACCAGTTCTTGGGAACAGCCTTTAACTGAGAATTTTTCACTTCAATTAGGTATTCAAGACCTGACACTGTGGTGTAGTTGAAAGCAGGTAGTCTTAATATCTGGGGAAAAGTAAAAAAATATTATGAACATTGGAAAATATATATATAAATAAATAAATAAATAAATAAATAAATAAATATATATATATATATATATATATATATATATATATATATATATATATATATATATATATATATATATATATATATATATATATATATATATATATATATATGTGTGTGTGTATATGTGTGTGTGTGTGTGTGTGTGTGTGTGTGTGTGAATATTACAATTTCTTCTTCTACCTGTTTCTTCAAATCTTTCACCAGTCTCACTATCCCTTACCTCCATTCTTTGTGGTTTGTCCCCACTGATCAACCCAACAGATGATACTGATAATTTTTCTTTATAAATGTGAATTTTTTAATAAAAATGTCAATATAATATACAAAATAAAGTACAGTACATATTACATCTATTACTTATGTTACATTAATATTGCATGAATTTCTAAGCTTATACTACTGTACTACCATTCTTCAAATTCCCCGACATACCTTGGCAATTTCAGGCTTGAGATCTTTAAGCTGCTTTTCCACAGAAGTTATCTCCTGCTGCCTGCTTATAACCTTAGGGTACTCAGAGTAATTCGTCAGGAGACTTGTTTTCCGACCTTCCCTGAAAATAATAATAAAAGAATGTGAATAAGAAAAAAATAACATCCTTCATCAATCTACCAAAAATCATAAAGCTGATCTCTGTGATACTAAGAGTTGGTCAAGGTATAAAAAAGCTTCCAGTTCAATTTTTAGACAAATAACAAAATACAGTTTAATGTACTGTACAGGTACACCCAATTTTTATCGAAGATCATGATTTTTCCCCAAATACTGTGACAAGCATGGCATGTTAACAAAAATTTACTTCTTTTTTTGTGAACCTAACTTGTGTACAGTTATACTTAAATTTACAGTATTATAGCAACTAGGCCATTCAACAATGTGTTAAATCCTAACTGCTTTATAATTCTATTTAAAAATCATGTTATAATGTACAATGTCTAGCTCAGTTTGAAGCTTTTCTGGATGTCCCCTTTTCACAAATCCACAATGAGTGATCTGTTAGTTGTGATATAACTTTCTCTCCACATCACCTTGAGTCTATAACAGGCTGTAAAGATCAGCAGTGCAAAACAACACAGACTAGGGACCAGCCAAATGATTTTTCATGTCCATGTGCCCGGCACTTACCCGGAGGACAATTTAATATTTCAAGAGGAAAATACCTAATCAAACATTTGTCAGGTGCTACATGACCTTATGTCCCCATACCAGTGAGGTTGTCAACCACTGAGGTGATGGTGTGTGACATTACAGCTGAGCTGACTTTTCTGTTCCCACAATGACCTGACCTGCTAAAAAAGCCCAGGTGCAAGTTACAGCCTCAGTGACATCACAGCTGATCCCTCCTATTTCTGGTGGTCTGTTCTCACAGTGACCTGACCTGAAAATCTGTATAAAAATATCCACTGATTGCTGTGTGAGCAGAGTTGTGCTACAAATTGTAGTGAAAACATCAACATGAATAAGAAACAAGGAAAAGTGACTGGGTTCTTCAAACACCGCTGGAGGGAGGAGGGTGAGGCCAAAAGGCATTTAGACAGACACAGGAGATCTGTGAGTTGACACACACAATAAATTTGAATGTTTTAAAATGTTTATATAACTTTTCCCATAAAAATCTGGGCAAGCATATACAGTATCCTCCCAAATTTGTCATGGCTAGTAAAAAAAATATCAAGGGGAAGTAAATTTCCTGAGACAGGTAAACAATCCACATAATCTGCTGAGCTTAGTCTTTAGTACAGTCTATAAGAGTACAATCTAGAAGTACAGTCAAAAGAGTACAATCTAGAAGTACAGTCTATAAGAGTACAATCTAGAAGTACAGTCTATAAGAGTACAATCTAGAAGTACAGTCTATAAGAGTACAATCTAGAAGTACAGTCTATAAGAGTACAATCTAGAAGTACAGTCTATAAGAGTACAATCTAGAAGTACAGTCTATAAGAGTACAATCTAGAAGTACAGTCTATAAGAGTACAATCTAGAAGTACAGTCAAAAGAGTACAATCTAGAAGTACAGTCTATAAGAGTACAATCTAGAAGTACAGTCTATAAGAGTACAATCTAGAAGTACAGTCAAAAGAGTACAATCTAGAAGTACAGTCTATAAGAGTACAATCTAGAAGTACAGTCTATAAGAGTACAATCTAGAAGTACAGTCTATAAGAGTACAATCTAGAAGTACAGTCTATAAGAGTACAATCTAGAAGTACAGTCAAAAGAGTACAATCTAGAAGTACAGTCTATAAGAGTACAATCTACAAGTACAGTCTATAAGAGTACAATCTAGAAGTACAGTCTATAAGAGTACAATCTACAAGTACAGTCTATAAGAGTACAATCTACAAGTACAGTCTATAAGAGTACAATCTAGAAGTACAGTCTATAAGAGTACAATCTACAAGTACAGTCTATAAGAGTACAATCTACAAGTACAGTCAACAAGTACAGTTTTACAAGTACTGTACAGTTTATAAAATATAGTACTGTACAGTATCTAATATCAAATACTGTACACACTATAAATATGGTACCAGCATACAAACTTATTCTTACTTGGCACTAGTTTCATTTAAGTTGTTTGCAAAAGCTGCAATATTAGATAAACCATCCAGAACTTCCTGAAGATGACTTTTTAAACCAGAAGTCTTCACAACGTCTTCCATATTGCCGCTGAATCTCAACAATCCACTATGTACTTGACATAATCCATTCACTGCTAACCAAAACTCATGAGGACTGCACTGTAAGGAGATAAATATGAGTTATAACAAATATATACTGCACTTTTTCTTAAAATTTACCACAAGTGACAGTATAGCTTACTATCGGTGACAAATCATGATACTGCCTCAAAAATACCTGTAAGTATTACCATAATGCCTTGTGCACTCTAACACCACCTCTAAATAGTCTCCACCACCATTACTACCTCACCCTAAGTCAAAATTACCATCACTGCCACCACCGTTATCATCATCACTGCAACAATGAACTCCGTACGTCGTCTATCCATAAGTTTGTTTAAAGAATGAAGTTCAATGACCTGTACCTAATGTGTCCAAACCCTCTAAGTGGTAATAAAACATTAATCCATTCACTGATTTTAACTTGACCATAATTGTTTATTCTTTTATCATAATAAAAAGAGATTATTAATTGTACGGTAGATTTGGGTCACTGTGTTAATTTTTGTACATGAGGTCTGGGAAGTGAACAGTTTCATGATGTAGAGGATAGCCCTGAGCTCTGGCTGTGAAAATGTTCAAGCTTCTTGATGTCTCTCTGTAGAGTTCACATTTCACAGTCGTAAAGGAGGGTGGAGATGATGACTGCCTGGAAATGTTACTGGGACACATTTCCAGAAACGTCTTATGGGAACATGAAGTATAAAATTCATTTAAAAAAATTGGTGGCATTTTCAAAGTCAATACTGTCCAGTGATGTTCAGAATAACTAACATTTTAGTGATGATTTGAAACATTAATTTAGAAAACAATTCTGATTATTGTTTTCCAACTGTTGAGACCTTGCTTATAAATCAAGGCAAGGAGCATAGGGACACCCCACCAGGAGCATTTATTGTTATGTTTTAAGACTGAACAAATACTTTCTTTGTTATGTGAGGGGATAGCAGGGTAAAACAACCTGTCCCCTAAATCTGTTGGTAGAAGGCCACCATTGTAGTTACATATAATAGGGACATGTGATCACAGAACAGGAGTATTTGAGCACATTCAAAATTCAGTAACTCCAGGTTCCACCACAGAATAATTTTGGTCAGCAGCGGGTTGTTTAGTGGGTCTTCAGAACACACACTAAGAAATGAGGAACTGTTAACAAAAAACTAGTTTGATAGAACCAATTATAAGATATCAAATATAAATACAATATTACCTTTTTGTGAAAAACAGTTGTAAGAGCTCTCTCATAATCTGGTGATTTATAGAGTACACTCTTCAACTTATTTACTATTGGTGCATCGGAGTGCATCAGTTCCTCAATCATATCCTGGCGTTCCGTAATTTGCTCTACACTCAGCAATGGCTGAACTATCCACCGGCGAAGGAGTCTGAAGGGGTTGAAGAGATACTGTGTTAGAACTTCAGTAACATAGAAAATCTACCAAAGATTACCTTTAGCTACAAAAGCATAAGAGTGAGGGTTCAAGGGAAGTAGGAACAGTGGGAGCAGAAAAAATGAGAAAGAGGATTGCGTTTACTACTATAAACAAGAAAAAAGTGCATATATAGGGAGGACTGTGCAACAGGGGCCAATGAAAATAGTAACACAACCAGAGGTGTAGTGCTGTGGGAGTGGCATTTCCTCACCATTTCAAATAAATCCAAACTTACAAATCTTAACATCATGAAATTTTAATTCCCACCACTAGAAGAAATACTGTATGAGAAAGAAATATTAAATGTTTCTCTTCTTTCAGCTTCAAATGAAGCAATGCTAGCCTATAACTTTGGGGCATTGAGATTTTGCAGCATTGCCGCATTATTAAATTATAAAAAACTCACACACACACACACACAAAAAAAAAAGCTGCTCCCAGCCTCCCTCACTTGGACGTTAAGTGTTGCCAAACACTTTAAATCTAGTAAAAAAAAAAAAAAAATATGTTGAGACTTATTTTAATTTGTCTATTTATAAATTTTTAAGTTCAGATTTATTCTAATTTGTAAGTATAATATATTCTTCCTTTAATAAGCAGCTGAAATATTTTAAAATATTTAGAATAATAAGCATTCAGAAAATTCTGGCATTCTTACCACAGTAGGCATGCCAGATTAGTTGCTCACCAAAGATCACTTAGAAAATGCACACACTTATCTTGGCAAGTTGGCTCTTAGCACTAGTGGAAGTCTGGAAAAGTATTATTGTACCATTGTACGTGTTGACAGAACTGGTGAAATTTCATATTATATATTATATCTAATGTAATGACACGGGAAGTACTACATCTTCAACCTTGGAATATATCCTAATATCCGGTGCATATGGCCTCAAAATATCCCTGAACTGGTCAGATTTAAAAAAATTCTCCCAGGGGCTTACAGAGCCCCCAGGATCCCCAGCTGTATGGGCTTCCTGTGCAACACTTTAAAAATGCATTCCCCCACTTCTTTGTCTCGCACTACACCACTGTCCACAACCTTTACCAAATACGTGCTATAATTCATAATCATTGGGATAACCGTCAAAGCTTTGACAACAAAATCCCTCATCATTTAATTATCCATTCTTGTGTACAACTGATGATACACAAGGGATATAAAACTGTTTAGAGGAACAACAATTCTCCCTTTGAGCACTAATGGGTGTTGCCTGAAATATAACCTTTATTTTTCCATTCCTTGATGGAAAAAACATTCTAAATGCAATTAATGATAAAAAAATTGCATATAAAAACCTTCTGTTACATCATGTATACTAATTTACAACTGCAATGCAGATTTTAAGGGAATAAATTGCAGTAATGGATGTTCTTGGTGGTTCCTAGACCCTAACCCTTATTTTCCTATCGCCAGATGGATTCGTAATTGCATAATTTCATGGTTACTTGACCCTCATAGATTAACTTCACATAAAAATGAGTGTTTACTGTACTATATACATTCTATAGTATCTAAATAGGGTAAACTATGAGGAACTCTGTTGCATAATAATAAACAGAGTAATGCATATGTACTGTACTGTACATCAAAATATATGTAAGAAACTTACTTTTTTTTACTGTGAAATGGGCCAAACTTATGAGGAACATAATTTTTATTTTGATCCAATCTCAACGAATAAGTCACATTAGGCATAACATAAGTACTGTAATGTAAAGAGTGAGAACATGAAGCATACCTGGAACCAAATTTGGTCTGTGTTTTATCAAGAGCCCACAGTAAGCTTCCTTTAGTCCCACCATCCACTGCATTCACCAGCACTTCCAGGTTACGTAAGGTAGCACCTGAAAGTCTCATGTGATGGCTGCCAGAACTATACTTATGAATTGAGCTGGAAAAAAAAATCCAAGGTGAAATCTACTTCTCTAACTCCCTATATACACACCTGACATATACAGAATGTCATCACCTACATAAACAGAATGAACATTATTCACATCTAGGAAATATAACATTAATAGTTTCTGTAAAAAAAAAAAATATATATATATATATATACAGTATATAAACAGATTCAAAAGATAGAACATAAAAGACATACCCAGCCATTTTTATGATTCGATCTAATTTAAATTCAGCAAGATAGTGAAGTGTGGCCCCAAGGCAGCTGACCACATCTGCTGGCAGCTTTGACACATGGTCCACCCTCTCTTTATCACCTTCAAATAGTTCACACACATACTTCAGAGAGTCAGAGTAGTCAAATTTGGCTCTATCCAACTGCTCGATTCGAATAGAATCCTCATTCCTAAAATAAAGAATCAGGATATTCAAATTTAATATAATGTTACATGAAACTTCAAATATATTTTCAGTACAGGACACACGTGACATGAATCTCGTAAGTTTTGTATCTGGTGTAGTGACTATTATATGTAAGTTGAAGAATATTATTTCTAATTCATTACATTTTTGGATTTCAGCAATAAGTTTGGATCCCTGGGAACGTGGTCTTCAACCCACAAACTTGCTGGCTACACAGGTCAACACTAGGCTAGAACATACTGTATGTAGACACAAACAACCTAAGGTTGTAGAGGGTGCCTCTAGTACTTATTTTTTTATTTTTGCAGCCAAATATTCATAATTCATGGCCAAGCATTGACTGCTGCAGTATTTCTTCATATAAAAAAACATAAAAGTTGAGGAATTATCTTTTCACTGCTCTAATCTGCCTTGAAAATAAAGAAAATATAACATAAATATCACTTCAATGCTCTAATATGAATTATAAGAAAAATTAAGAGCAGAGACTTGTTTGTGGGAGGCAGGGCAGTTGGCTGGTGGCCCGAGCACCCCCCTCCCTCTCCCAGGCCAAGCATGTCCTTCCAGCCTCATCAACACAATATTTTGCAATTTCACCATAATTTTCATATTACAGTATTTAGGTTCACTTGGTACCAGGCTAATATAACATTATTGTAAAGTAATAAAAAAAAAATCCCACAACCCAGATGAGTTATTGTGTGGTATTAAATTCATGGTTCTTTGTTGACACAGTGTGGTTACAGCCAACCTGTCTCCATGTTGGTATATTGGCATAACCAACATGAAATTATGAGAAGGAAAGGAGCTGTTTATACAATACAAAACAGAACTACTTTTTGTACAAAGTCTATGTTACTGTATTTTTTTTGTATTATGTATGACGTTTAGTGTTTATTACAGCAGTTTTGGAACAGTTTATGGGCATTTCTTGGCCTCTGACACCAATCTAATTACTGTACATCAAGTCCTCGATTAACGTCGTGGTTACGTTCTTGATAAACACAACATTAACAGAATCAATTTTCCCCATACGTAATAGATAAAATACGGGAGTTACGTTCCCCAGTCTTTCTTTGCCCCATAAAATACATTACGTATACCTGTACGTACATAAATTCAATGGAATTTTTATCGAAAATAGTATATATATTATACACCCAAAAAGATAAATAAACTAAATCATTTTGCATTGGACTCACTGATGGGCGGAGGTGGAGCGAGTGTGTGGTGGGTAGAGGGCGCTTGGAAGCTATTTCCAATGGTTACAGTACAATATTTAGAGCAAAAACTCTTAAGCACGCAATAAACGCTGTGGATGCCTAACAAAGACTGGGGATGCTCCGTGAGAGAGTGTAGCGCGCCAAGATGAGAGAAGGTGATGCACCATACAAAGTAGTCCATGACGACGTGATAACGAATCGGTCGGGAAGCTGTCTGAATCATGGGTATCTAAAGAACAGCAATAGTTATAACGAAACAACGTTATCGGGAGCAACGTCAAACGAGGACCTACTGTACTGTATTTCCATTTAAACCAATTAAACTATAATTCACGATTTAATAGCTCACGAAGTCTTCTGGCACCTAAACCATGAATTATCAACACTACACTGTACTACTAAGGCAAAAGAGTCAGAAAAATGTTTAGGATAAATTCACCCACATAATATATCTTAATGAAGTAGGAGAGCTTAACAAAGGATAGCATAATGGCTGAGTAAGGAAATATGTGAATCAATGGACATTTTCTGATATAAGAATCAGTAGTAATGTGGTAAGATAAGACAAAATTAGGATGCTTTTCCTGAAGAGAAAATATCATATGAACTTACTTTGTGGAAGCTGATTGTATAGCTTTAATTGTGACATCAGATATATTTGCAGGTACTATAGCTTCAACAGGCTGAATGTGGTCTAAACGACACCAAAGTTCCGTCCTTGTAGCCGAGTCATCAAAGGTGTCGTATACAATATCTCCAGTGCTGGGCTGGATAGCCTGTTGATGTGAAGGCTTACGTTATATGTAACTCTTCATCAAAAAGAGCAAAGACAGAGCAGGAATCTTAAGAGTACTTATGACTCATTGGGGGAAGTATGTACAATAGTGGGGTACAGCTCTACGTGGCACAGACATGGACACTAAAAATGGATGACATCAACCATCTAAAAGTATTTCAAGTAAGGGGTTGGATATGATTAAAGAAAGTGGGAAGGAATGAGAGGAAGACTCTGCAAGCAGCTGGAGAAAGAAAGGGTCTGGTGATCATGAGAACAAACTCTGTAGAGGGAAAGATACAATAGCAGGAAAGTTAAAGGGGAAACAACAAAGACCGGAATGTTGAAACAGTTCTTATTTGGACTAAATGGAAGAAGTAGATGTCTCAGATCTGCTGCTAAGCAAGGTTAAAATGATATCAATAACTATTCATGTGGTACAATAAATGACGCATGCAATGTTGAGAAAATACATGACATTATGTGTCCATTGTTATGCTGTACAGTATGTGTAAAGAATACAAACATTTTAAGTAACCAGATTTTTTTTTGGGTGGGTGGGGGGGGATCGTCTAAAACCTTGTCAAATATATTTATAAACCAGTTACAAGTAATTGAGTGGAGGGGGCATGGCTATGTCTCACTACTGTAGTGTCTTAGCCATTTAGACTTACAGTATTATACGTACAGTACTTAAATTAATGGCACTAATTTTATAGAGGTAACACAAGTTCTAACCCACATTCTTAAATCATATTCATCCTCTCTAGCAGCAACCCCACGCATCATTTGCTTAATTAACCAATACATGACAACTGTAGCACACAACTTACTTCCTCCCCTCCCACCCCTAACCCTCCCCAATCACTCCATTCACACTGCTCCTAAAAAATCAAACTCTGCCTGCTGATTCAGATACAGATGTTTTGATTCATAGTTCACAAGAGCAGGTGACTGTAGTGCACGGAAATGTCCCGACTGTACATAATATGAAGCTGAATATCTTTTAAGATTCCAGAATTCAACTGCTAAAGGCTCACCAGACAACTGCTGGTTACTGAAAATTCAGGCATACAAAACTGCACAAATCACCCGTTATACCAAGAAAAATAGAGCATTGTAAATAGAAAGGTGGCCATGACTCCTGCTGCATAGTGGGAGGGAAATTTTAAAAACCTTAAGATGGAACACCTTATTTACCACAGCTACATAGTATACACTGCAAATGGCTGTCCATCAAAGTTAAGAATACTGTATCTTGGATAAGATTATACATATGTGAACTTGATATACTGTACAGCAAGGCAAAAGTGTGAAGTGGCCATCCCCACATTATAATAACCAATAAAAGTTCCAGGTTGACAAAGTCTGAAAACCGAGCATGCAAGATGCTGGTGAGCAGTGGGAAACTGAGATTCATGACTTTGTTTTTAAGGAATGCATATCATCACATTTTGTCCACCCAGTGAATAAAGTGATTTATCATTCAATATTGTGGCATTTGAGTCATGTTCTCTAAGTCAACATAGGTATACTACTGTATTATGAAACACAAAAGTGGGTCTCATGGGCCTCACAGCCAGTCAGGGGCAGAGCAAATTCAACACACTGAATATTAAGCCCCTGGTACACATGTGGCTGACACTGTCTCTTATTGCCTTCACTTCAGCATTCAAGTCAGGTACTTGTTTACAGCAGAGTGGACTAAGGGTGCTCTAAACATGAACCAGTAATACTTAATACTCAGGGCAAGTGGTGTTGCCACTTAGCCACTGCACTGCTATAAAAATTGACTTAATACAGTATCCACCACTTCATCATACATGATGATAAAAAAATCACAAACATACAAAATGTTTTTACATTTTATACATCACCATAATCTTTAGTTTGTTCTTTTATATCATATAATCTCTTGCCTCATCACATAAAAATATAAATTCATATCACTAGACCATTACTGCCTCCTTTTCAATTAAGTACTATACAACAAAAGTTCCTCCTCTCCTTCAATTCAACCCTTCTCATTGTCTCTTAGTTCTTCACAGAACTATTCTTCATTCACTTATTCTTTCCTTTATATACAGTAACAGTACAGTATATATTAATTCTTCTTATTTATCATCATCCACTTGTTTCACATATCAAGTCTTTTTTACATAAATATAATATTTTTATACCAACTTCTCAGTAAAGTTATTTTCTTGTGATACTGTACACACCCCTGTATATACTTACAATAATTGAAATACCGATTGTGTTGTCCTTTCCTGAGATACTCTTGCCTTCATGTACCACCAGCAGCATGGCAGTAGTTCCTTCTGCAAGATCCCCATCACCAACAGCTTCCCCACCCCCAGCAGGTGTTACATCTTCACCAATCAGAGTAGACCGAGTGTACAATGCCGTAAGTTCACGGCCAAATGGTGCAGTTTTGTTGCTTCCTGCCGCCTTGAGGGCAGCAGTTTCAGTTTGCTTTACGACTCCAACTTTATAACCTGTTGACAAAATTATAATACTTGGTTTCATTCTGAAAAACTAATTTTCTATGTCAAAAGGTGTTGTAGTAACACAATAATTTAATACACCGTGAATTCTAAAGGTTACATAACAGAGTAACACATACCCTTAGCAACAAGTCTTCGTACATGTACATGGAGTTTGTATGTAGGTATGCTTGCAGTCATGAAGCTATGGTCAAGATGAGCCACAATGTTCAGTTCCTTGGCAGCAATTTCTGCATCATTTCCAAAAAATCTAAAGAAAAATACAGTACAGTTTAATGTAAAATCACTATACTTGGCAATGAAGAACAAAAAGGAATAATTATACTGCAAAGTGTCCACAGTAAAATCTGAAGTACTTATTACTCATAACAATTGCATAAGTAGTGGGTGGAGATAGTATATTATATAAATTTACAAACTGTATACAATCAGTAAACAATTTCACTCTACTGTTACTCATTTTAGGAGAGTTTAAGAATATTAACTGTTAATTCAACTAATTGAACATGAATACAATGAACCCACCTGTACTTATATCCACACTCCACAAAGAGAACTATGTCTGGGTGCTTGTTCTTTATAGCAACAACTTGTTGTTCAAGGGGGGTGAGTTTCATCCCTGGCACAGCTTTCATAGGCCCTGACTGTGCTTGTTGGCTGCTAGTGATCCCGGTGTTGCTGTCACTATTATTTTGAGACCTGGTCAAATTAAAACTATCTTAATACCACAATACAGTATTAAAGCACCAACATAAATCACCACCATTCCTAGACCTGGTAAAGATGACCAAAAGGTCAAGAGTACCCATCACTACACAAGCAAAATGACCTTGAACCTTCTAGAATATACTCTAGAGGTCAAATATAGATTAATGATTTCAATTAACCTTTAAGCAAAGGTAATCATAAATAGATGATGAGCACTTTCTGTCCCATAATGACGGTGATTGTCAATATACTGTACAGTAATCAGGATCTTTCTGTGCCATAATTTTCAGGTTTGGCGCCTGATTTCTGCTGAGTGATTATAGTGACTCAAGGCAACTTCCTTCCTCACGTTGGTCCTTCACCATGTTCCTCCCTCCATCAGTAGTGTTGTATGTTGTCATGGAGGAAATATTTGGCATTTCCACAAATGAAATGTGTGAAAAAAGTTGTCTTGGCACCCAGAAAAATAAGTAAAATGTTATGAGAATCATTTAAAATTGAAGAATTGCTAGATGTGCTGAGTAAATTCAGAAATGACAGTTTGTGTGTGAGCCCCAGCAATAGTGACATTGATGGACCAGTCATCAGAGCTTAGAGACCAGGAAGGCGAGGTATAAGTGCCTCTCCACGTGTACCCGATATATGTGCATCAGCAACACATGCATGAAGTGTTCGTGGCAGGAGGGTGCACCAAGTATAGTATCACTTGGGCACATTTTTTAATATCATTATCAGTGAAGAATCTATTGAAATTATAACACAAATACTGTACCAAAGAAAAACATGTTTACTACCATGCATTCAAACAGTGAGAGCAATGACTACCCAGTGACATAGGCTACAACAGTGCCATGGTAAACAGAGCAGCGAACACTGGAAACTCATGCTCCAAGTTGGAGATAACCATGAATGTGTTGACCACAGATTTGGGAAGTTAATGTTTTTTTAGAAGATATTTTTTTTAATCGTAGTCTACTGTATGGTATATAATACTAAGTTAATGGCAGCTTTCTTTAAAGGGGAGTTTTGTGTCAGCCACCAATCCACCATACATAGATATATAGATATATAGATATATATATATATATATATATATATATATATATATATATATATATATATATATATATATATATATATATATATATATATATATATATATATATATATATATATATATATATACACACACAGTTAGTATAAAGTTTGTAGGCAAAGTAAGTTTGGTTTATTTATGAAGAAAATTATACTAATATCTTTCAAATACTGTACCTGAATTCACCCAGCTTGTTCCTGACCACAGTTGGTTTAACTTTTATAACAGACTTTGTTGCGGGTTCTGAAGTCACCTCCATTAATTCACCATTTTCTACTGCAGAATCTGGAAAAAAATAAATTAGGAGCTTTTAATGGATAAAAAATAGGTGGACTTGTGAAATTAAATTAACAAACAGATCAGTATGCCTTTTTCTCCCATTTTTTTCCTCGTATTCATAGTTAACCCAAGAAAGCATGGAAAATGACATTAAATGGTGATGAAGATTAGTTACAGCCTAATCTAAATTATATTATGTACAAGTATACGGTACCCTAAAAACTGATGCCACAATAACTGCAGATTCACATAACTGACAATTGCATATAGGGGAAACACCCTGCAAGTTTTGTTGATACCCCAGAGATCTGACAATCGGGAGAGGAGCGACAGGGCTGTTTTGAATTTGGCGCGTGGTGGCGTGGTGTAAATTCTTGCCACAAGAGGGCTCTCCACACTGCCTCTGTGCTCTTGTTTACACTTTGTGTTTTTTTCATTATTTCTGACGTGGTGTGTTTAGGCAATCATGCCTAAACACCCAAGTGATAGTTCCTCTTGTGCTGCCCCAGCTTGATGTGATGTGATAAAGCACAATAAGGCATAATAAGAGTGGTGATACTAAAAATTGGTAGATACAGTACTTAAACTTGCCACCCTAGACTGTCTCTAGCATCCACAACACAGGTAAATAATAGTCTCAATTTATGCTTTACATTGCTTATTTATGGCTTATTGCTTGCTTGACTGATTGTGGTAATTACATCCCTGGAGACGCAACAGCTCAGGTCATATGTCACCGAAATAAAATAAAGGCTTAAAAGACGAAGATCAAATAATCCAAAGTAAAAAACATAAGTAACAAATAATATAGAACTTTCGTAAAAACAATAAAAAAATAAAATAAATGTTAATATATAAAACTCAAAGCTGATCGGACAGACTCAGCTTCAGGAAAATGTCCTGACACTTAGCCATCCTAGTTTTAGGGACCAATGTGATGGGGCAGGAAGGATGACTGGTATATTCAAACATTATCAGGGTTATCTAAATGCTGAAAATACCCCAGTAAGTGTCCCTGCATTATAAAAACCATCTGCCTACAAATAATATCCAGAAAATTACATACCAGCAGAATATGATTCAAGTCTGTTCTTGGTCCACGATGTGTGTGAACTTTTCCTGGAGCCAGATGTACCACACTCACTCTCTTCAGTTTTGGCCTTTTTATATGATTTTCCATTTCTAGGGTGATCATTGTTTGTTCTCTTCAAAACTTTAACGACCTTCACCTGAGAAAACAAAATATTATCAATGGACAGTTGTTTTTCATTCCCCATAAGGAGCAAGATATTTGTCTCCTCAATTATTGCACCACAAAATATGAGTACAGTTTAATATGTGTAATGAAGGATGAAGAAAGGTTGCAAATATTGCTGGTCTAAGTTGTTTAACAGTACTGAATGTGTGTGTGTGTTGGAGTTACAGTACCAAGGTTGACCTTTACATTTAACCTGTAATTTGCATATTCTACAATTTAAGGTAGGCACGAAGGTAAATTAAAAAAAATATCGAGAGCCCAGGTGTGTGAAACAGTGGGTAAAGACCAAGCCAAAGGATACATTGATGAGTCTGAGGTTATCGCTCGTCTTCTATGCCATCATACCCTGGGGTCTTGATCATTTTTGGATTGGCATGTACATAAATAATTATCTAATAATTTACAGGTACCTCACACTGACTTGTCATTATGAGTTTCCCTGATCATGTTAATGAGTGTGAACTTTGTTGTTGCACTGTACAGTAATATAACTATACACTATGTGCACAGGTAAAATCATCAAACAATCATCAGACTGTACAGCATCACACACACTGTGGTGCTGGAACCAATGATTTTTATTTCTTGGATTTGGTGAGAGTTGCAAGTGAGTCAGTTTGGAAGGCACGAAGCACACTGTATCATAAGCTACAGTGTCATCCTTGCAACTCTACTTCAAACCAATGATGGATATTGGTTTCCTGAAGTAGTTAAATGTTGCATGTCTATTGTTGAAACAAGACAATGCTGACTCCACTGCCAGGCTGTAGCTATAATAAGACAGTACCACTGAGTATGCTTAGATCACCCTGTAAGGCAGTTACAGTATATCTACAAATTAACCATATAACCAGTTAACAATTCTTTGAAACTTTAAACACTGAAATTCTAGTGCTAAGACTATATTGGCAGAGTTGCTTAAATTATACAAAACTGAGAACATCTCTTCTGTAAGTAGAAACACAGGAACCGAAGCTCCTCCCACTAGTCTCGTGGGCTGGCAGATGCATCTCTAAGGGTGAAATTTGAGTCTGAATTGTTCTACCCAAAGTTTACTACAGCAAAATGGAAAAATCATTCCTGTCCTCGATGCAACCTGCAAAGCAAGACTACGAGGGGTTGAGATTTCCGCCCATGGCCAAGACTACCATAGGGTTCAGTGGTACCAGAATACTAACTAACCTTATTGGATAAAGCTGTAAGTGCTCTAAGTAGATAATACTTGAATATATTGTCTGTTACTTTCTGTCACACAACCTGTAGAAAACTAAAACACACAACTTGTAGAAAACTAAAACAAACAACCTGTAGAAAACTAAAACACACAACCTGTAGGAAACTAAAACACACACAACCTGTAGAAAACTAAAACAAACAACCTGTAGAAAACTGAAACAAACAACCTGTAGAAAACTGAAACAAACAACCTGTAGAAAACTGAAACACACAACCTGTAGAAAACTGAAACAAACAACCTGTAGAAAACTAAAACACACAACCTGTAGAAAACTAAAACAAACAACCTGTAGAAAACTAAAACACACAACTTGTAGAAAACTAAAACAAACAACCTGTAGAAAACTAAAACAAACAACCTGTAGAAAACTAAAACAAACAGAACCACACTGTAGAAAACTAAAACACAACAACCTGTAGAAAACTAGAAACACACAACCTAGTAGAAAATGAAAAACTAAAACACACAACCACACAACCTGTAGAAATTAAAACAAACAACCAACAACCTGTAGAAAACTAAAACACAACCTGTAGAAAACTAAAACAAACAACCTGTAGAAAACTAAAACACACAACCTGTAGAAAACTAAAACACACAACCTGTAGAAAACTAAAACACACAACTAAAACTGTAGAAAACTAAAACACACAACCTGTAGAAAACTAAAACAAACAACCTGTAGAAAACTAAAACACAACCTGTAGAAAACTAAAACAAACAACCTGTAGAAAACTAAAACAAACAACCTGTAGAAAACTAAAACAAACAACCTGTAGAAAACTAAAACACACAACCTGTAGAAAACTAAAACAAACAACCTGTAGAAAACTAAAACAATAAAAGAGTACCATGTGTTGGAATAAGGGCAGTAGTACCTGTTGTTAACTTATAAATCACCAAATACAGTAACTCACCTTGGCAACTTTGCTGGAATTATTTGTTTTCTTTTCTTCATCAGTATCAAACTTTTTTGTCCCACTTTTCCCAGGTGCAAAAAATTTGGAAATTGTAGGTTGTTTCTTGGCCCCAGAGGCAGACATTTTTACTCAGCTCCAACGGACAATGTCCTGAAAAGCATTAATAAAATACTTATACGCATTAGTATTAATATTCTGAATTTCCCATCTCTTTTTGTTACACCTTTTAGAATACAGCTCCTACCCAACTTATGACGGGGTTAGGGACCCAAATCCAGGTCGTAAGTAGAAATGGTCGTAAGTCAAAAATGCTCAAATAATACATAGAAAATCTAAAATGAGTGTCTCTTTTTCTTCTCAGCACCACAAAACTCTCACTTTTAAGCATGCCAGACATTTGAAAGTGAATTACAAACGAAAATTTTGTCAGTACACAGCGCAATCACTGACGTTGGGACTCCAAAATGCATAATTTGACAAAATTTTGGTACGACTGAGGCGGTCATATGTCTGGGTGGTCGTAAGTCGAGTAGGTCATAAGTCGGGGAGTATTGTCTATCTTTCACCTGATTATGAACAATAACAGTACCGTAATAGTGTAGCAGATGGTTAGCACCAGAAGGACTACAGAATATGTTCACATTTTCCACAGGTGGTGTTTGAATGTTAGTAATATATATACAGTATTGTATCGATTTATGCGGATTTCCTTTACGCGGTTGATCATTTACACGGCACCTATTAGATATGCGGTACATTCCATCATTTACGCGGGAAGCGGCGCGGGCAGGGTGTGCGCTAGGTCGCCCAGTCAACAAAACATTACCAAGTTCTTCACCCGCCACAGCCAGCCCAAGTCAGTGATAGTGAGGATATGGACTTTGAGAGGTTTGACAAAGAGGCCCTGCTAGCCTCTGTGGTGGATAGTGATACAGGTGAGGGCCAATAATCTGCCCTCTGCCTCGGAACCAACCCCCCATCCCCGTGTGCCCAGCCATCTCTTCTACTAACGTAAGTGTTAAAAAACCTAATATTATTGATATTTCTCTTAAATATTAATTGTGTGTGCATACCATCATAAAATTAAGATGTTATTTTTACTACAACGTACGTATTGTGTCGAAAATGATTATATGGCAGTAATTTCAAGTCTCTACGAACTTTGTAGGCAAAAAAAAATTACAGTAAATATTGCATGAATATTACGCCCATGGCACCACAAATATTGGCTTGTCTTTTTCTGTTTTTCAATTTTATAGGCTTCACTTTCTTGATTTTCTTGTTTATAGCTTGCACAAATCCTTTAATTTTTTCTTTACTGATGAGATTCATATACAGGTACCATAGTTGTGTTTAAATCCTATATTATAGGTTAGTTACAGAGTTGTGTTGGGTATCACCTGTTAACATGGACTAGTCGGCAGGTCGTGCAAGTGTTCAAATTATGGCCGAGAACTGACAGTGATGAAGAGAAATAAACCAGTGCAAAAACCGAACTGAACAAGACATAAAATTACACAAAAAGCTTAAAGAAAAGTAACAAATATCAAAGTAAGTTTTCTTGTATATATGCCAGGGAAGTTAGGTATAGGTTAGGTCAGGTTCTGTACATTGTCATTTCCATTTCCATGTTTAGTATCAAAATTCTGTTATTAAGGCAAATCTGTACCAATATCTGAAAAAAGACTTAAAACAAAAGCACAAAATATAGATATACAATAACAACCTAATACTAACCTAACCTAATGTAACTGCCACATTTGGTTTAATGACCCAACAGGAGCTGACAAGAGATGTTCCTGGGTATTGTGATATGTAAAAATGGTGTTACTTTAGTTAAATATATTAGCTAAGACATCAAGAATCACCTTAATAAAGAAATAGAAGAGTTTAAGGTGAGTGACGCCTCAAGTCCTCACCGCCATCTCCCGCGTCTTGATCCCTTCACCCTGTCCGAATCCTCTCTCATCAATCATAATAAATCCCACTACCAGGAATTATTATAATATATTCAATCAAACTATCAGTAATATATTGTAAAATTATTATATATTTTATGGTATGATAGAGTTAAATAGTTTCATTTGTCATAATACACTAGTGACTGATGTAAAGTGATGGCAGGGATTCGGACGAGTGACCAGAGTTGCCAATCTAGCGACTTTCTGGATACTTTTGGACTCAGTTTTTCTAATTTCGAGCCATAATATATATCAACGGGGTTACAGGGACAATAAATAATAAGAAAAGTTTAATACATTTAAAGGGGTCATGGTACAGGAGGAGGGACACGTCTATTTCCCGTCCACCCGATTTAGGAAGGAATGGCTCAGAGATGACAGATACAAAAATTGGCTTCTGGAGGTGCCAGGAGATAATAAAAAAGGACTTTGTAAATTTTGCAAGGTTACTTTGTCTGCTAAGTTGTGCGACATTGAATAACACAAAAACACTAAAAAAAAAACACAAGAAAGCAGAATAGCCGTTTAGTGCAGAAAGACAGACACTTTTACCATTCAAGAAACTTGGTGAAGCAAAAAAAGTGGAGGGAACTCTGACCATGTTTGTAGCTGTTCTATTCGTGTGGTAGAACACTTAAGTGAAGTATGTAAAGTATATTTTAGTGACAGCAAGACAGGCAGTGAACTCAAGTTAAAAAGATCAAAATGTTAGCGACTTTCCATGGAAGATTTAGCGACATTAGCTACTTTTAGGTACCAGTCTAGCGACACTTGAACACCCCTAGTTGGCAACACTGGACCAGTTCGATCAGCTGGGGGTCAGGTAAACAGGTGTGGTGTCTAACAACCTCACTATTAACTACTACTCAACGATCATTTACCTGATTTACTTCATGTAGATAATTCTTGAGCTGTTAAAGGTGAGTTTTGTGATAGATTTGATAATTAACTTTACTTATTAGTGTTGTTATGATAGAAAATGCAAATGTTGAGCTACTGCATTGCATTCTGGGGTGTTGCAGTCAGTATGCAATGCAGATCATTATACTAGTGACTGTTGAAGTGTGACATAGCTCCTAAGTGTTTTAGAGGTCAGTTTTGTTAGTAATCATTATTTCTTCCCATGTATTAAAGAATATCCAGCAATTAAAAAATAACTTGGGTAGTTATTTAGGACAGTATTCTAAATTTTAATCTATTTAATTTTTTTTATTTAATTTATCTTTGGTTATTCCACCAGAAGGAGCTGTTCGAGTTTGTTAAATTTTTCTACAGGTGTTTTTGTCATTATAAAAGAAGCAACATTTACTGGAACCTGACCTAACCAACCAAGGAATCCTATCTGACCTTACCTAACCTCCTAGCCATACTAAACAGAAGGACTTGTACTTTAATATCTCGTACCGATGAAACCAACTTTTCTGAAGCGTCGTGGTGTAATTTTATGTTGTTGTGGATGTGAAAGTATGGTCGGACCAAGAACACATGTGGTGACTCGGCAAATTTTATGGAGTATTTACGGTAAACAATTAATTTCATCACGTACAAAGCCCATAGAGACATCATTTACTTTCTTATCATCAGTTTTTCACCGTGTTTTACTCTGCGGTAATTATTGACGACTGACCCACTTCCGATTTTTCATAGAAAACTATTTTTAAGATGCCGCAATTTTACTGTGTTTTATAGTGGACACTGTCTTAGTTTTGGCAGATGTGTTAAAAATTGGTTACGTATTTCTAAATTAAGCCTAACCTAACCTAACCTCACCTAACTTCCTGGTCATGAGGCTCCACCCTTAAGACCCCGGTGTAATTTTATGTTTTTTTGTGTGTGTGGACGTGAGAGCGGCCGCCCAGCCTGAGCGATTCATAAACATACACCAAGACGCCCGAGCGTAGCCATGGGTGTCGATTGGGCCCCGCCTTATTGATTTATCACTGCACAAGATGAAGTAGTGCCACCAATGCGAGCTTGGGCACCTAATTATCTACAAAACAAATAATTTTTTGAAGAAATTGTATTATCAGAACTCACTGATGAAAATATACGTAGTTATAAAATAAACATCAAAATAAAATAATGCGTCGGTGGGTTCGTCGTCAATATTAGCATCCTTCATGCCCTGCTCACTACAGGTGATTTATAATCATAGATAAAAAAAGGTGAACAAAAATGAAAAAATCCTTATAATTAAGATAAAAAGTTAACGTCTCTTTTCAAAGTAATATCTCCGTTAGCCCCACACTCTCAAACCCGGAACTCTCCAATAGCCATAAATGAAATTTTCTTGGAAAATTGTACCCGAAGTCGGAATTTTCTTGAAAATTTTGCTTTGGGAATGATTTTATGAGGGGCACATTTCCCAGAAAATGTAAAGAAAATTTTTCTGATACCCGTAAAATTCCAGGGATAGGGGAGTTTTTTCTGTGTTTGAGAGATGAAAATCAGGTGCATTTTCCGGAAGTTCTGAAAAGAAATTCTGGAAATTCCGAGAAAATATTTCCGATATACTGTACCAGGAAATTTCCAGGATGGGGTTATTTTTCCAGGTTTGGGAAATGATGTAATGGGCAATTTCTGGAACTTCTGAAAACATTTTTCTTTTACCTGGAAAATTCTGGAAAATTCCAGGGATGAGGGAGTTTTTTCTGGCTTTGAGGGAGACGTCTCGTTACCCGGAAGTCTCATATTCCCAGAAGTGCTCTGCACCAATTGAATTGTTCCGGCTATCAGAGATATCACTGTACTATAATGATAAGAAGATCTGTGGAAAAAAGTGAACGAAATCAAGCAACTCCTTCTGGTAGTAGCGGTTTCTTCATAAATTACCATATTTACTTTTACTCATCGAATTCTAACCTATAGCTGTTTTTATTCTTATATTTGGCCAATATCATTTCCAGTATCATAAACACTACAGCTTATAACCAGTAAAGGGAACCTATCAAATTTAACACTGAATTATTGATCTTTGAGTGTGTGTGGTAATACTGTATTGGGCCAGCCTTAGCAGCTACCTCATGAAATTTCTCCATAGTAGCTACTAATAGTAATAACAATAGCTGGTCTTTTGTTTTTTAAAAGTACCAGTTGTTCTTAAGAATTCACAGGTGCTGAAATACTACAAAGTCAAGGAATTGGGAATACAATGTACAGTATTACCCAAAAATCCCCAAAAGTGAATTTGTAAACCCTTAAGGTGTAACACTTCCTAAACCCTTTAATTCTCCATCATCGTACCCTGTTCAAGCTCATAAGCTTTCAAAAAAAGAAAGTCGGTTGCTTCAAGAATTCGGGCAACCAATTGTACAATCTGGGTGCTGTATAGGACGAGTATTGGACAGCAAAAGAACATTCTCGTACTGCTCTAGGCTCCTCAAGGTGTGAGCGATTATCCGTACTATGCAAAATCATTTTGGAACTTGTGGTCAGAGGATTTAGTAGGTTGGCCAAGTACTGTACTGTACTAAGGCTCACCAAACATAAATGCCTCAAGTCATTAAGCAGAGTTTGAAATCTATCCCAGCTTTAATTGAAAGCCAGGGCAATACAGTAGTAGATAGAAGCTTTGTTATTCACAGATTCTCACAGAAAACTTTTGGAATAGGCTATTGAGCCTGTGACCCCAGCTCTAAACTTTCACTTATACTTGTGTGGTCGGTGTGCTGATGGTCGGGTCTGTTATACTGAATTTGTGCTTTATGATCAAACTTTTGTGTCTGATGGCCCGCACTTTAACCAGTTTTCTTTCAAAACTTAAAGCTGAGTCAGCATTCACTACCCAGTCTGGCAGATTATTCCACATGTTAGTCACTCTGTTGCAAATAGTATATCTCCTCAGAATTAATCTTGATCTCTCCTTGTGTATTTTCTTGCTGTGTCATCTCATTATTGATTCTTCTTGGATTTTAAATATATCTTTACAAACTTGCCGATCGTATATTCCACTCGTAATTTTAAATACTTCTATCGCATTCCCTCGTTATCGCCTGTATGCCAGCGTTGGTAGCTCCAGCTTAGCCCCTCCAAGATCTCGATATATTTGACCTTATATGGGCACCGTATTTGATCATCGTACTCTTAATGAGGTTTGATCAATGCTGTATAAAGAAATCTGAACATTTCTTGGCATCTAGAGTCATAAATGTTGTACATATCAATCCAACCAGTCTGTTGGCCTTATTAATCTTCTCAGTCATATGTTCATCAAATTTGAGGTCACTGTCAAATATCTATTATAATTCCACGATCCTTCTCTGAATAACTTCCATCATTGCCTCCTACATTACATCATTTTTCTTCAGTGCTGTCATTCTTTCACTCAACATGAATTTACATTTCTTTGGATGAAACTTCAACAGCCACTTATCTGATCACTTTTTCATCTCCTGTAATTCCTCCTGTAAGCTCAAGGAACATTACAAGAAATGTGTTTTGCAAGATATCAGTTTTGACCTGTGAAATGAATGGAGGAAGATGGCTAAACTGTGGCACGTTGCCCCCAGTACAGTGTTTAGACTGAAGGAATGATTCTTTTTACAGAAAGGAATTTTATTCTGTTTTTGAAGAGTAAAATAGGAAATACCCCTGTACATAATTGGTATTTTAGGTTATAATAGGTAAGGTTAATATTTTTCATTTTATGAAAGAAATGTTACAGATTGTAAAAATGTGTGATACGTGGTAGAGAATATTATGACACGGGAAGCAATAGTGCCATGCTCGACACCCTGTATTTATTTGTCACAGTTCAGGGAAGATGTTTTTTTAGTTAATCTGTTCACGCTGTTCATGCTGTATTGTTGGATGAAAAAATCTCGCTTGCTATTAGATCATCATGTTCTGTGAATGAATAGTTACCTGTAGAGGGTATGTGAAAAAAAAATTGGGCTGGAAGAAGACGAACAACATTCTCTGAAGGGAACCATTGGCTGATCCGAAAAAGGAATAAACATAGTGGATGGACGGAGGGTTGAATATGTCAAAAATCGTAAAATTGAAGTGATGCCCAAATAGTGGCAAATACATTCCTCTTTATTTATTTTTTGTATATAAAAATCTTTTAACTTCTATGAATAAATTTTGTCAGATACCGGAAGCTGCTAATGCTGTATAACTCTCAAGAAGTATGCTACTGTATTACCAATTATTGTATTGAAGGTAACTTTCTTTACTAAACTTGTACCATAATATTACACTGTACACTATACCCGAATTACCAAAAAATACAAATTAACCGAGTACAATATTGGAGAATTCCCAATTTCTGTGTTAGACTATTCATTCGTTTTCTGTTTAATTTTTGGACGTTATTCGGATCATTCCAAAGACTTTTCCTCATTATCCCAGCCAACAAACATACAGTACTCATTTACTGTACCATGCCTTGGTTGCCACATAAAATATTCTATTTATAATTACATTACTGTGCAAACAAATAGTTTTTAAAAGTATGTACAGTACAGTGAAAATAAAGTAAATAATACAGTAATAACTACATGTAACACTTACATTGTGAGGTGAGCTGATAATTTGTAGATGATATATAGATAGTGTCCAACACGCATGCCACACGGATAATAAACAAGGGGTTGCTGTCAGACGTACGGGCATCCTTGATGTAATAATACCTGTAGTTTACATGTGGTTTTATCACAAACTGCATTAATCTTTAAGGCACTAACCATCTCGACTGATGAGGTGGCAGCGCTGCGTAACCTTGCACTAGTGACCCACTCTCACGTGACAGCAACATGACCCTAGCCTGCTAAGGGACCCACGTGGTCAGAAGTGACGCCAAGCAACGGGCCTGAATTTTCAAGCTTGTCGCCGCGTGACTTCAGAACTACACTACACTCACTATTTCAGATTCATTCTGAATTCAAATCATTTAATTCACTTTTGAAAAAAAAACGATGTGAATTAAGCCAAAATCTGAATTATAATGATCCAAATTAATGAGGGTACAGGGTACAGTGTATTGGCTAATTTTATTGTCGATAAAATTATTCAATGTAACCAACCTACAACAGGGAATTCTATCTCTCATAATTTTTAAAGGTTGTTAGTCAACCAATCGGAGTACTGTCCTCATATCTGAGGGTTGGCAACCACAGTCCTTCACTCTAAACATTTGGGGCTGTTTTAACCAATCCTTCAAGATTTTGTATCGCTCTGGGGACCCGGTTTTTAATATGCAGTAGTTCATTCAGCCATCCCAGTCTCTGCCTTCCCCTAGCCCTCCTACTCTCAACTCTTCCCATTAATATTTCTGTTATTATCTCTTTTCTCTTTCTCTGTACATTTTAAGTGTCACAAGCATGTACAGCTATTGTTCACCGTAAATGGCCAAGGGAAATGCAGAAATTTTAACCCCTCAAAAATACTATGCATAAAAATTTGATCATAAAAAGTTGAACTGTACTTGAGTATGTACGGTATACTGGACTGTACAGTACTGTACACATCCACATCATCCACTTTATCTCACACTGCATAAGGCCATCCATGCCACATATACCTACGTCACAATTTGGGAATTTTCTCTGATGCTCTGATAGTTTCTATAATCTACTTCTGTTAATACTGTACTTTAAATAAAAGACAACTGAATTTACTGAAAGTTTATCATAATTATGATAATTTTATTTGAACTAATTTATTATGAGCTTAAATAAGCCAGTCTGTGTTAACACGTGATTCTCGAATATTCCTTGATTTTTGCTAATTACAGTACAGTTTTATAATGTGTTTCAACTTTTCAGATTTTAGTCACTGACAATAAATGCTAGCCCACAGAGCTTTGCGACTGTTTCTAGTGGTTGGAGTGTATTCGCAATCTGCTTTACGTTCCATCATGGCTTGGAGGTCTCATGGACGCGATAATGCTGATATGGTTAGGCATCTGAAAGGTGAGAACTGTTCAGTATAGCTTATGATTTAGATTTTTCTTATGCTCTTAATGTGCCGATGTTACGGCATATTTACTTCTAGAGTAGACCGTGTGTGGAGGTAAGGTTCAGTATTGTTGGCTCCTGGTCTCTAGTGAATTGTTCTTTGTTGGAAGCAAAAATTTTTTCACTCATAAGCTCTTACAAAATTCCAAATAATTTTTGATCAGAAGTAAAGACTTAAAGCTCAGATATGATTGTCTTGTGCTTCTTGATCAGTGTTTCTCTCTTAAACCTCCAATAGCAAGTTCGAGGCGACATGTTACAAGTATCATATAATTTTCTATTTGGGGTCTGCTGTAATTTAAAGAGGTTCCACAGGACTTCCAACTACAGTACTGTACTTTACCTGGTATGAGAACACATATTCTTAACTGTGTAAGTAATTATATTAAAAGGAGAAATAAATACAGTTTTTGTACCTTCATTCAAGAATATATGTAATTCCTCACTTGTTTATTTTATTAGTGATCTATTTGTTGCAATATGTATTAAATACAGTGTACTGTATATCATTGTTGATATTGATAAACTTATTCTACACTACCGAATTTATGCATCATATTCAGGTACACACAGTATAAAACGGTGAATGATGCAGACGATGGATAATGAAAATTTCTGTTTGTTTGTAACGTATATGTAAAATGGCTTATATCAGTACAATGTATGGCGAGGACCCCCTGTCCTGTTTCACTAATTCCCAAAGATGATGAGCACTGTATACTATTGTAATGAGTAATTTACATCTGCATAACAAAGGTAGTTTCTTTTACTAAAGATTTAATCTTATTCTTCAGCCAACCAGATTATCCGCTCTCCTGAGGTAGAGCGCGTGATGTTGAGAGTTGATCGAGGATTGTACTCTAAGCACAACCCATACATGGACTCTCCACAGGGCATTGGCTATGGTGTTACTATCAGTGCACCTCACATGGTTAGTGGTTTTGTGTGTGTGTGTGTGTGTGCGTGCGTTATGTCAGATGATGCAAGGACTGTATTCAAAAGTTACAAAATTCTAATTTTTTGTTGTACTGCTTAGAAAAAATATTAGAGCCTTTGACTCCCATTCTTGTTTCATATAAAGAAAAATAAGTTTAGTATCTTGTGTATGACACCTCACTCCATGGGAAGGTTCTCAGCTTCTCTATGGTGTCAGCCACATCAGAAGAGCCTCTGGAATGTATGTTCCATATTTTTCCTGCCAAGATGTTTGTATTCTACCTCTTGTAAAAGACTAATTTAGTTACAGTATCTGTAATCATGTAGCTTGTGCAACTGTTTGAATTGAGGATTGAAAATTTCACCATATGTAAAATAGGGTTAATATGTAGGAGCAACTGACAATGTAAATACAGAACAGTACTGTAAGTCCACCCTGGTGTTACTGAGGGGCAGTCAGTAGCTTACGGCTCTTGTTGCCAATTTTTGTGACATATTTTGATCTATTAGTTTATTTTAGTTTTCTTGGCAGGACAAACTGAAACATAGTGAAACATTACACACACAATACAGTGGTCCCTCGGTTAACGAACGCCTCGGTTAACGAATTACCTTCCACAAGAATCTTCATTTCGGTTAACGAACAAAAATTCGGTTAACGAAATTCTTACGAAAATGTTTCGACATGCTTTGACTTGTTCACCAGCTGGAGGATTAGTCCGCCAATACAGAAATCGGTTCTAGGGCTTACATTCATTAAAATTGGAGTAAACGTCAAGAAGGTTGTACTATTCAATAATTTTCCAAGTTTTATATTAACTTTTTTAGTCATTTTAACACTTATTTAACATAATTGCAGTACAGGGAACTAGTTTTTGGTGTGCCCATCAGCCACTTCACTCACCCACCAAGGCCTCAGTTTGTATCTCAGTTCAGCGGAGGAAACATCTTGCTTGTGGGTCTCTTGACGTTTTTACAGTACAGTACAATTATTGGTCATTCTGAAATTTATTTAACATATTGACAATATGTAGCACAGTGCAGTATTGATTTAAAGAAAATAATCTTGAAGTACACCTAGTGAACTTAAAATTTTATGGGTGAAATGACGGCATGGGGTGATTTCTCTTCCACCGCTACTTCCTTCTCCTCCACCCCCACTTCTAATTCCCATCATCATCAACCAGGAGCCTTCTACATACACACCTCAAAGTAAGTGTACTTTACTTCATTTTTTTTTTTACTTTGTATGTAATTTTCGGTGAGCTGGAACCAATTGCCCAAAATCGCATTGAAACAATGGTTTCGGTGAACTAAATTTTCAGTTAACGAACGACCTTCTGGAACGAACTGTGTTAGTTAACCGAGGGACCACTGTAATGAGAATTATCTATGTGTGTGTGTGTGTGTTCCAAGTGGACAAAATGTTTCAACATGTTGAAGCAATTATAGTGGAACCAGTGTTGCCAAGTTGGTGATTCTATCAATTAGTAATCTGTCACTTTCTTTGGTGACAGTTTAACTATACTGTACAGTGTACTTAGCAACAGAGAAAATTTAAAAGAATATTTGTAAATTTATCTACATTTTGTTGATACTTATTCAGAATATTTGTTTTATTTATGGGCCTTTCAGTTTGTCAGCCATGGTCTTCACCCTCTCAGTTGACTCCTGAACAAGAATACTGATATGTTATCATAAAAACTATAATAATTATTGGTATTTTGAGCAGAACATTTTTATGTTCTGTACAATAGTAGATGATTAACCCTTAAGCCCCAGGTTTGGGTGCTGCTGGCAGTAAACCACCCCCCCCTCCCCCCATGCGCGAGCAAGAGAAAAAAAATCAACTTTTCCAAAAATAATATAATAAAAAAAATGGCGGGAAAATAGGCGGACGTTCTGGAATGTCACCCGGGGCCTACGGGTTCACAGGAACACTGTTTATAAATGTTGAAAACTGCCCATATGGTTGGTCCTCAAAACATACAAATCCAATAACTGATTATTCCACTGATTACTCTTTTGAATACAGTACTGTACTGTATTGTACTGCATTTAGCCTTTATTATATTTTATTAGGAGTGATTTATAATATATTTTTTTATCTAAATGCTATATTATGGAGTTAATTCCAAATAAACTTGGTACTGTAAATATGAGAAATGAGATTTGACAGTTTACAGATGAAAGGTGTGATATATACACAACTTGGGAGTAGTTACCCTTAAGCCAGGCAGTTGTCTTAATACTGTACTGGCCCATCAGACAGAGCCCTCAGCTTCAGCTTGGGTTAATCTATTAATTTGTTTGATAAACCAATTACCCATCCCTTCCCCCAGTGTCTGACATGGTGGTTGTTCCAAAGAAAGGCTAAGTAGACCCGTGACTGCCCAACCAGCACTGCTCACCATAACAACAATTCTTCCTTCTATAAATCTACATAAAACTAGAATGAACTCAGACAGATACATATAACCACATTATCCATTACCATCTGAAAAGCACAGTGGGTGACCCTTACTTGATCTGGTTGTCTGCAAAAGCTAAGTACAGTATTATGCTCCTTTTGTTGATATTGAGGAACCTGTTAGCTTTTTACTGCAGATTTAGATATTGTCTTAAGACTTACTTTGTCTGGTATATATTGTCTTGTAAGGTTTGTTTAAATTTTATCACCATTTCTCACAAAATCCAGAAACTGATAACCTTTTTTCTCACACTGCATCTCGGAACTAATTTTTATGCGGTTTTGGAAAAGTGAACTAGCTGGTAGATGTGCACAGGATGACACTTATCAGCATTATAGCCATGAAATCGCCAGGGGGTCTTAGCATGCATTGATATATTTGGGTGGTTGAGCGAGTGCATTTTTGGTCAGGGTGAAAATTAACTTCTCCTCTTAACACAAAATCTGTAGTACCCCCAGGTGGTGAGAAAAGACACCAAGGAAACGACATCAGCTAAGCGTTAAAACTCTTTTAGTCTTTTTATAGAGGAATTGGACGTTAGCATAGTCGGGGACAAAGCTGACAAGGAAGGTACGAAAACCTTAATTGTTGGCGATTCCCAGGTACGGTACCTGGATAGAGCTTTTTGTGGTAAAAATATAATTAGGATGAGGGTTTGTTTGCCAGGAGGGAGGGGTGGGGGATGTAGTTGACAGGATGGACAATATCTTATCTGGTAATGGGAACAAACCCATTATCTGCCTCAGTGCAGGAGGCAATGATATTGGCCGGTGTAGGAGTGAGGAGCTTCTTGATAAGTTCAAGACAGCTATAGAACGTATTAGGGTGAAGGGAGGGATCCCTATCATATGTGGTGTCCTGCCTAGAAGGAGAGTTGGCAATGAATGGTTGTCAAGGGCAGTTGGTGTCAACGGCCGTCTTGACAGATTGCAATCAATGTCAGTCCCATTCATTGACAACTGGGACAACTCTTACTGCAGAAGGGACCTTTATGCTAGGGATAAGATGGCAACCCTGGCTGGCTCTCTCGAGAGGGCAGTTCAAAAGCTGTCGAAGTCATTAAACTGCTAGGGGAACATATGGGCACGGAGGTTGAGGAGACTGCAGTGGAAGCGGGTAAGCAAAGTGAAAGGTTATAGGGAAATAGTGCTAGGAATGATGACAAAACTAAATTAGGCAGGGAGTTAAAACTTAAACGCGACAAAGGGAGGACTCAGATCACGTTTAACTTAAATGTCGACTACTTAAACAGTAGAAGTAGGAGAAACAAAATGGATGAATTCAGGGCTTTGGTATGTACTGATGTTATGGCGAGTGATTACTGGTCGGGCAGTCATGTCTCATTAGACCTGTTCTTTGGAGCAACTATATAATGACCTCATTTGAGGCTGACAGCACAGGAGTAAAGGAAATGTTATTGGTTTAACCAAAGGGTGAAAAATATCCATGAAGGCTAACATTGGGGTTCCCCATCTGATGGATTGTTCAAGTCTTCCAGTACTGTACAGTACAGTATTATAAGAGTTGCCTGACCCTGGGCTCTGCCACAAAAAGATACAGTATTGTAGTAAATCCTCCATTTCTATGTGTAATGTATTCATCATATATTTTATTTCATATCACTTTATTATGTTTATAATATTAAATTTTTTTCAGCATGCACATGCCCTAGAATTGCTTAGTAATCATCTTAAGAAAGGTAATCGTGCCATGGATGTTGGCTCGGGCAGTGGCTACCTTACTGCTTGTATGGGTCACATGGTGAGTATTTGTAAGTTCTTATCATCTGATATGTTGCATTTATTTAATTGTGGGGGTATTCAACTTCATCCTAGTATGTGTATATATACTGTATGGTTAAAATAATTTGATTGTGGCATATGTGAATGGCACTCAACAGTGAAATAGGATATACAGTATACCCTGTACCTGTATTGTAGAAAAAGAGGAAGTACTGCAACAGATGAGTGGCAAAAGTTTTGTGTTGTGGAGCCTCAGGGGCAGTTATCACATATTATCACATATTACTACTGGGGTGTTAATTATAGATCCTTGATGCAAGAGGAAGAAGCTGATTATAAGTGGCAAATGATGTGTTTTAACCCATTCACTCCAGGGATACCACTTTTAATATGTATTTTATTTGGGTAATTCTAATGCCACTTGATCTTATTCTGCATAAACAGATCCTTATGCAGAAGGGGGTTAAAGGCAATATGTTGGGTGAATATGTTGTCAAAATTAAAAATATTTAAGTAAGGAGATGAAAAGGTGAAAAGAGTATTGGATGGAAAGCTTATTAGGGGCTGCTTAGGTAGTATGGTCATATATAGAGAAAGATTTGTAGAGAGTATTAATTTAGCAGTGAATAGCAAAACAAAAAGATGATAATAGGAAGAGGTTATGGAGAGGGGTGGAGATCAGAGTAGCAGTGATTTACATGTATGACTGGAGATGATTGATGATGTAGAGTGGTTTAGCATGCTGTTGATAGGTAATGCTAGGTTATGTGAAGGGTGGGGGTCAACCAGATGGATACCGTATATAGAGTGTAGCAGTGGAAGGGAATACTGTACCATAACTCCTGTTACAGCAGTAAGAATGACAGTAATCTTTATGATGGTTAACAACTTGAAAGAGTTAAAAAAGGTTAATGAACTGTAAGTTATTCTTTTATACAGGTAAATTTTAATGTAATCAAGTGTACACCTTCTCTTTCTCCTGTAAGATCACTTGATGTAGATGTGCATTGACTTATATTGTAACTGCATGTTTTAAATTGCCACTTGGCTCCTTTTGAACACTTAATTGTTGTGAAGAAATGGGGGAGATGGATGAACAAGTGTCTATGTGGAAAGTGGTGTAATCTGACACTATTGCATTTCAGGTTGGTGAAACTGGCCGAGCAGTAGGAATTGACCACATAAATGAACTTATCAAATTTTCTCAAGATAACATCCAAAAGGATAGTCCAGAGTTGTTGACATCTGGTGTTGTCAAGCTTGTTGGTAAGTGAATCCCCCTCACAGTTTTATCCATGTAATACCTTTGTGGTTGTGGACATTACAGTAGTACAGTATTATTGATAGACAGGCTATAACTACAGCAAAATTGGTCGACATACTATTTTATATGTGATGAAAATATATATTGGCAGAAGTACATGGATGTGTGTGTGTGTGTGTGTCATAGTACAGTGATTTGTGAGATTGTTTTTATTGTTCAGAGGTGTGTGACTGTGTGGTATTTCGTGTGTCAGATATTTCATTACTTCAGGTTACTTGTGAAATCTAGTTTTCCATGCTGATAATATTAATTTTCCTGTGTTTTGATGTTTGACCTGACCTGGGAGACCTCACCTTAGCACTGACTCGCTCTTCATTAATTCTTGGCATACTGTAATTGGCTCCTCTCATCTTACTGTGTCCCACCCATCTCTCTCCTGCTGTTGCAATACAGACATGTGAGAGATTACAAGTTTACTCTTTTTGTGTATAATTTATTTGTAAAATGATAGTTGAACCATGCCTGAAGTGCCAGCAAAACCTTTAGGGAAGAGAAACAAGAAAAAAATATGGTTGAGGTCAAAAGAGAAGCTTGAAATAGTAGATAAATTAATGGTGCACCAGTGAGTGGCCTTGACCTACGTAAAGCTATTCAAAGATTTGCAGATTTAATGAACCACTACAGCATTTAGTGGTGAGTTCCATACTGTATGTGTCCTTCATTCCACTTTTATCCTACAAAGATACACCGTATAAGTGTATTAAAGAAAATATAGAGCTAAATGAAACTCTATCTAAAATTAAACAAACAATAAAGAGAAAGATATTTAAAAGTGATGTTTAAAAAATAATGATACTAAAAGAATGAAAACCTTTACCCTCTCTAAAAACAACCAATAAAGGACTAGAAACTAAAATAGAAATTAAACTGTCGGGGTTTTGTATTTTGGAGACATCCCTCTTGTCAGCTTCACCTTCATCCTACTGAAGAGAGGCCCCGCAAGAAGATAGGAGTGGGTGTAGTTACTGCTCTTGATTTTTTATTTATTTATTGTCGGGCTAGATTTGTGGATTTTGAACCACAGTTGGTAGGTTTGATCAGCATGTGGCAAGGTCCGCATGATAAACTCTTGGTGTAAATTGCACCCTGATAAACTCATGGTGTAAATTGCACCTAATTTGACAAAATTTTCAGGTGTTAAGATGACATGACACTGAATACAGTTTGTCAGGGCAGGAGGAGTTTGTATCTGCTTTTGGGTGATGGTTGTTGTTATTTTTCCCTTGAGTAAGAATTTTTTTTTTACTTAATATGCATATGGCAGCATTTCTCTGAACACTTGACCTTGTTGGTTATGATATTGCCACTAGAGAAAGCTGAACACTGCAAGCTGAGTCGGTAGTGGCAGGCTCTACTAGGGATGCTTAGTGATGGTACATCTTGTAGTCCACTGTTCTTCTCACCTTGGCCGTAAACTACCTTTTCTTGCTTCAGTCCTTCAATGAGGAAAATATTAAGTCTGAACTCCATTTATATACAGTATATTCTTTTGTATTTTCATATGTTTTTTTCTATTGTGATATATATATCTTGATTGTTATTTTGTAAAAGATAAAATCGAGTGCTTGCAGTTGTATACTTTTGGTGTGATTGTGAAGAAAGGAGCATCCAAAGTAAAATAAAAATGTGTAGAATAAATAATTTTTTTATTACAGGGATTAATAGATGATTTAGTTGAAAATGAAGTTTTTTATATAAAGTTACAGGTGAAAATTGTTATCAAGAACAAATCTCTTTACATAAGATCCTTTGTTTTATTAATTTTAAGTTATAAAGAAACTTATCACAGGTTTTTACAGTTGGTGATGGGCGATTAGGCCACACAGAGGAAGCACCGTTTAATGCTATCCATGTGGGAGCCGCTGCCCCGACTCTACCCCAGGCTCTGGTTGATCAGCTCGCTCCAGGTGGACGTCTCATTATTCCAATTGGTCCAGAAGGAGCAAATCAGAATTTAGAACAGGTTAGTTAATGGCTTATTAAAGTAAACTACTTTGAGGAGATATAGGGGGTCCCCTAGTCATGATTGGGTTTCGTTTTTGGGCTCTGTTCGTAAGTTGATAATTATGTACGTAGCTCAGGACCGTGTTAACTTCATAATAGTATATAAATAAAACCCATACCTGTACCTGTAAAATTAATGCAATTTTAACATACTGTCATATTGTATCACGGCGTAAGGGTGCCAAATAATTTTTTAGTGGGTGTACTGTAATGCAAGTAAATAATGAACAGAAAGGTTTTATAAAAATTACCTTGACCCCTGAAGATTAACCAACCTAAAGCTATCTTGGGAGTGTTAGATTAGCTTTTGGGCGGTTAATATGCAGTACAATGGGATCACGTTGGTAAGTACCGTGCGGGTGTCTGTAACTTGGACGTTCATAATTCGGGGACACCCTGTACAGTGTAGCAGAAGTCGAGCAATGCATTTAATAGTTAATATCCTTAAGGAATGATGCCAAGAAGGAGTTTTTAAATGTTTGTTCCTTAAGTATCTTGGTAACTTATTATCATTTCACTACTTACCATCTTACTAGCCATCCAGGCAGTTGGTCTGTTCAGTGTTAGTACAGGAAGAAACTGGAGCACCCGGAGGACACCTGTGATGCTTGGTAGAGTCTCACTGGGACATTGATGTACCTTTCATTTGCACTATGACTCCTGTGTTTCATAATTTATATAATGCAATGGGATAAAAGTTAATTGTTATCTTAACTCTAGGACTCTCACGGTCCTAGTCCCCAATATCCTTAACCCCCCCTTATGGTCAGCCTGAATCTGGGTTATTGACCACCCAGCAAAATGGGGTTTTTTTTTTATCGCCAAAGAACTTTTTCCTACCACACATTGGCATTTATGGTATTTCAACAATGTCTATACAATATATGCAAAATCATGGAAGGAATCACAAGAGCAAATAAGAAATATGATAAAGAAAAGGCAAATGCATGTTTTGGAGAATATAAGTTGGAATCCATTATTTCATTGTCTATCCATATAAGTTTTAATTATATAAAACACAATTTTTTTTAAATGATTTATACAGTAATACCCCGCTTTACACGGTTCTCGTTTACGCGTTTCTACATTTACGCAGTACCTCGCCAGAACCGGAATTCCCACTTTACGCGGTGCATCTACTCATATACACGGGTGAAGTATAATTTTTTTATTTAGCTCATAAAATTCATACAAATTACCCGACCAGAATATAATTTACATTGCTGGAATTCTTGCAATATGATGATAATTTTGAATATAAACATAATAGATTTTGCATTAGACATACAAATTTTAGATCTAATGTAAGAATTTTGTTTAGTCAGAGCAAATATGTTATCTTTTGTGCAAAATATATGACGTGTATTTTCAAAATATTCCTGGTCTTGCAAGGAATCCAGCAATGTCAATTATAGTATCCTAATTTTAGTCTGAGGTATTATTTATTACTATACCTTAAAATCTAGTGTTTTCACCCAAACATTTCTCAAGAGAGGGAGGAGCCAGCGAGCGTGGGGAAGAGGGGGGGAGTTGAGTTCATTATTTGAATGGACATTAACCTGGTGACTGTATTTCTCTTAAATATTAATTGTGTGTGCATACCATCATAAAATTAAGATGTTATTTTTACTACAACATAGGTATTGTGTCGGAAAAAGTGGAGTTTGGGATTCGGCCCAGTCTCTATTTCAATTAATCACATATGTTCTGTTATTCCATTTACGCATTTCTCGTTTTACACGGACCTCTGCGGGTTCAATTGACCGCGTAAATCGGGGTATTACTGTACATAAAAAAGTGCGAGAATCTCGGCTTTTCTGTGGTATATACCAACAGAAAATCTGTATGGTAAATAATACGGCTGTAATAGCTTTTAGAATATAAAATGGCGACTGAAAACAGATTTTATCCGTATTGTTCACTCACTATTTCATTCCGAGTCAGTTATCATCTCCAAAACAATTAGTTTTATAAGATTTTATTTACTGAATATTTAGTTCAGGTCTTGAGAGAGTTTATGGTGTTGTTAGAAGTTATATCCAATACCTGCTGTAATTTTATGTGAATTTATAAAGAATGAACATGGTAAGCTGAAATCCTACCAGCCAGAAATAACTTGGGAACACTTCCCTTCCACAAAAGATATTATCTATTTATAATAATATATAAAATGCCTATATTGTATAACTTGATTCAATGACAACTTTTCTATGGAAATGAATCTAATTAGGAAGTTCACAATAATCCTCCATATATATTAGTGCTCGCCACTGGATGCTGCAGTGAATACAGTAATTAAGTTGCTTTGGAGGGATGAAGGGAAGGAAGGAAGGGAATTACACCCAATACTGCTGTGCTGAATGATCTTAAGACGTTACCGTTTGTGGCCTCGCTCACTGCTCACAACAACCCTCACTATCTTCACTTTCAGAGGTATCTATTCCCCTGTCACTACTCCTGTAAACTGAGACAGACTCAATTTCTTTGTTGTTCTTCAGCACTCACTCGGGAAGACGAGTTCCGATATCGGGGTTTATTTAAAATTTAAATCACAATACTGCACTGTATTCACTGAACTGAAGCACTGTAAACATCCCGAAATATTTCCAGTCAACAATATTAACACACACACACACACACACACACACACACACACACACACACTCACTCACTCACTCACTCACTCACTCACTAGGGGATAGAAGTGTGGGAAGATTTAGATGTCAACACTCTGGTAACTCTCCTCGCTCAAGGTCACAGACAAGACTTAGGTAATTATCTCGTGGACAAAGCCCATGAGGGTGGCAGAGGTATGATACATTTACCATGGGTCTTCATGCTACAACCTGTACTGCACCATAGTGGATAGTTTTTTAATACGATTATTTGTATGTAGACACAACCAGTGAGTCCAAGACCGTGAGCATAGCAAAACTCTTCAGACACGTGAGTTGCGTCCAAGACCGTAAGAGTGTTAATACAGTATTATGAATCGTGTGTCAAAAATTGGGGTATTAATATTCACGATACATCAGTTTTTAAATTAAGTCAATGAACTATTATTGAGCATCAGCAGCATTCTGGCAACAATATAAGAACCTGATGAAAGAATGACGCTTTTAACAGGCAACCTGCCTCAAAATCAAACCCAACTTCAATCCCTATCATTCTAAGATTAAGTTAGCTGCAACTGAACAAAATGGGTAAAAGGACATCCAGCAGTCAAGGGGCCCATAGGATTTTCTTGGGGGGCTGCGGGCATCCACAGGGAGGTGAAAGAGTGCACTTGCACCCCTGAAAATTATAAATTACATTTTTTTCCACAATCCGTTCAGAAAAACCTGTATGACATTAAAAATTTTATGAACTGTTTGTTCTTAATGCTCTCATGATGTCGACATTACAGAGGACCCAGTATACTGTACTTCCGGTGTTAGGTCATTTAAGAAAACCGTGACCGCTTGTCATCAAAACTATGCATTATCTTACTTAGATAAATTAGCAATTTTTTAAAATATTTTGCCTATTGTAGTGTAATTTAACTAATTTAAATTTTTTCAATTTTTGATAACTAGTATGATATAAAGATAACTGCAATAATATTTTAGTACAATTTATTATCGCATAGTAGAGCCTCAATAAATCGGCCTAATTAAGACCCCGGTCCGGAAAATGCAAAAAGTCCAAAAAAGCGAATAGATGGGGCAGAGGGGAGATAACACTGCTTATCTGAACTGTTTAAAGAAAATCAGTTGTTGCTATGTTATTACTGCACTTCAACAACTAAGGTCTTTAAGTGTATAACAAGGTTATTAAAAGTATTTTTGTACATCAACAATAAAAAAAATATGAAATGCATTAGTCTGGTTGTCAACAACTGTTTTCACCAAGATGATTGTTATTTACTGTAAAGTGTTTTATGTAATTAACCACAGAATTTCTCTTATGAATAAAGCAAAACTGTATACAGTGGGCCCTCCATTGATGAGCGTCTTAATTTATGAGATTTCAGTTAATCTAGTTAGCTCTTAAGGAAATTCTAGAAGCAGAGTGGAACTACCATTTAAAAACCCATTGAAACAATGGTTTCGTTAATCTATCTTTGTTAATCTATCCATCTTCTGAACGATTGAGTTCGCTAACCTAGGGGTCACTGTACATCTACATATACCCCAAGTTTATTCATTAATCATTTGTCTATGTACAAGCAGCCAAACTGAGTCATCATAACACTCAAAGGTAGTAAATAACGTTTTTAAGAAGGCTGCATCTTCATATCAAATACAGTGATCCTCGGTTAACGTAACACACCTGCTTCAGAGGGTCGCTCGCTAACTGAATCTATTGTTTCCAATGGGATATTGGGTAATTGGTTCCAGCTCACTGAAAAAGTACACATGCTACTGTACAAAGTAAAATAAATATTTGCAGTAAAGCACACTTACTTTGGAGGTGTGTATGTAGAAGGCTCCTGGTTGATGATGATTTTGATGGGAATTAGACGTGGGGGTGGAGGAGAAGGGAGAAGAGAAGGAAGTGGGGATGGAGGAGAAATCACCTTTCAGGGGACCCATGCTTGATGCTGTCATTTCACCAATAAAATTTTAAGTTCACTAGGTGTAATTCAAGATTGTTTTATTTAAATCAACACTGCACCGCGGAAAGTGAGCATTCCGGTTTCGGCAGCATACCGCGTAAACGTGGAAACTCGTAAAGCGAGGGTTGACTGTACTAAACAATAACTCGATTATACTCAAATATTTCCCGTCACCCTTTTATTAGCACATCATAAATATTCAAATAACAAAGTCTTGTATAGAGGCAGGCTGAGATGGTTTGGGCATGTGGAGAGAATGGATGTGACCAGTTGGGTTTAGAGGTGCATGAGCATCAATATGGAGGGGAGGAGACCCTTGGGTAGGACAAGAATGATATTGGGAGGAGTTGTAAGAATGACATTTTAGTTATGAACCCGGAGACAAGAGAGAATGCAAGAGGTAATCATGGCTGACTCGTGCAAGCGTGGAAAATGTCTGTATAATGTTAATGACGAATAGTGTATTTTAGTTTATGCTCTAACCATTTAAAGTTTGTTTTATTTGAACTCTTGGGAGCATTTGTATTATTTCTAAAGGTGATTTATGTACTTAATAATTTGGATTCACAGTCCATGGGTCTTTATGAAAATGTTGTACTTGCATGATAATTTGGATTAATAGGCTGAAGGTCTAATGTACCCTTGTTATAAGTCACCCCAAAACCTATTTTCTGGGTAGTTGTCAAGTTTGCCACACTGTAGGTCCCCAAGATGTGTAAACATGAGGAGTGTTACAGTGTGTTCAAGGAGTTGTGCCAAACTCAGATGCTGCTTTCAGGAGGTGAAGCAGTGACTTAAGCTTATTGATTATATTTACTGGGCTTTTATTTTCTTACATTTTACTGACAGTTTTCAAGTTAAATAAGGATATGACATTTTCCATACATTTCCTGCCCATTCATAATTTGTTTCCCTTTTTCTGTACTTTAAGTTTCCATAAACAATTTTCTAACTTCTGTAAATATAATTTGCTGTGAAATTATTTTTCTGTGAGTCTTTGTAATTTTATTATTAACACTGTACTCAATTATTATGCCTCTAATCCACATATATGATAATCTTTCATTCACTTTTGTCTTTGCTTCCATAAAGTATTATCTTAATCCTTTCAGATTGACAAACTGGAGGATGGGAGCATCAAACGACAAGTGTTGATGGGCGTCATCTACGTTCCTCTCACCGATAAGGACTATCAGTGGCCCGGCAGGTTAGTGAGGAAGTGGATGGCAAAGTTAAATGCTCGTAAAGAACTTGAGAAAAAGGAAATGGAGGAGAAGGAAGGTGATAAGTAATGCTGCCCTTAATGTCAGCTTAATCAAAACACTTGCCTTACCATATATCTGTACAGTATGTTGTTTTAGAGTTATAAATATAACACCTATAAGAAAGATGTGATACTTATGAATACAGTGACAACTGGATTACATAAGGTCTGGGTTGTAATACAAGTACTGTACTGTATTGTACCAGACTCAAACAATTGCATCACTAAAAATTGTGTAATAACAGTAAAAAAGCAGAGAAATAATCTTCATAAACCACATAAGTTCACTTGTCATGCCCAGTGGAGGCAATGTACTGTACAGTACCAATGTGGAAGCCAGGCATGGGGATGAAGCCATGCCTCTAGCTTTGAAGCCAAAGCCATTGGAGTGTCACAAAGCCAAAGCCAGATATTAAGTCATGAAGCTGAAGCCAAAGTTTTTCAAGGCTTCAAGAAACCTTAACACTATTATTTGTGTAATATACTGTACTGTGCTACCTTACAACAATGGCAATATGTATGGTATTCTAAGTTGGATTTGTTTTAAGCTGATTGTTCTTGGGGTAAGTTTTGACTCTCCCTGTTGGCTGAAAAGAGTTACTTATAATAATTTGTCTTTTGAAATTTATTTTATCCATAATACATAAACACAGTAATTTACAGTCACAAATCACAGAAGCAGTTGTTTGGTGTCTATTTTCTGACATTTAGGTCAGGTCCCTGTGAGATTAGAGCAGTAGGGATAACTTGTGATGTCAGAGTGGATCTCAGTTCATGTAAGGTCAGATCAAGATCACATGGCCAACTCACATTTGACCTGACCTCAGCTGAAGTTTACCCTCCTGGCACTACCTGGGGTGGAGATTCTGACCTGATTGACCTGTGACAATATGTTCTAGTGTTGGCACTGGTCACTGACATGCTGGTCAGTGATATCGGTGTCAACATAACCCATGTCACTTGTTAGCTCAGGTCAGAATTGCTCGGCCTTGGATCTGCCACCAATTTGATACACAGGTACAGTATTTATATAATACTATCTTAATACAATTACGGTATACAGTATAATATGGTCAGTGTGTCTGTGTAAAGATGAAAATCCGAAGCCAGACCTGGAGCTTCGAAGTTGAAGCTGAAGCCTTTAGAAAGTTTTTAAGCTGAAGCCAAAGTCAAGTCCCAAATGCATGGCCTCCAGAAGCCAAAACTGGCTTCAGACACATGCTTGGTGTAAGCCTAAAGTATTTTAATAATGTGCTCTGTTGTTTTTAAGCAATAACATCTGTTTTGTATCAATTTTATAAGAAAACTACTTTGGTATATTGATTTATCATAAATAAGTCGATCCTTTTTACTGTAAATATGAACTGGAAAGTACCCTAGACATGGGACCTTGATATAATACCATGCTGAGTTCCTGCAAATTCACTGAGATAAAAAGTGACCTCATTTTTTGGCTTATTATTCTTGGCTACATAATTTCACTCTTTAAAGGTAATAGAAAGTGCATCATCACATAAGCAGACAAACATTGACAACTCATACAAGCAAAATATTAATGACAGCTGGTCTTCACTTGGTGGCTTGAGTATATAGGCTCACCAAATCATCAGGAGACCTTGACATTAGTGCCTGAGACCGACCCAATCAATTTACAGACCTTAAGAGTAGCAAGAGCTATAAAAGGGTACAGTACAATCCATAGAAGCTCGGGTGTTTCCTCTCGGACAGTTAGGAAGGGGTCAGATAAGCACTGATGTAACAGAAGTAACTGTACATCACATGCCTCTAAATTGATTATACAGGCTTAGCTCTCACTGAGCAGGTTAGATAAAATTATATTTCTTGTACAGGGGTTAGGTTAGGTGAGGTTAAAGAATTCATAAATATTAGTTTTTGGAACTGATCAAATGTTTGTGTACAATACTGTAGTATAGATGATTGTTGTACAGGTTATTTTGAACAATACAAGTGCGACAATGAACATGCTTTCCCAGATTACATTCACATAATGGCCTCCTTCACCCCTAATACCATCATAATAAAACATGAGGGAGACTTTTTACAAGCAAATGGAACACAAGTTTATGTAGAAATGTTTACAGAAATGTAATGAAGCTCATTTTACTTAAGACAGTTTCTCTGGTGTTTTGTGAGTTATGGTCAAGGGGGCACTCCTGGCTAGTGGGGTGAGGTTGTTTTGGGAATATGTAATGCTTCTGGTCTCACTGATATTATATTAGAAACTTTGGTATTCTTATTTTTATTTAATACTGATTTTTAATTGTACTATATATGCCATTTGAAAAAAAATAGTTTAAATAATGACTTCCTAAACTCGACTCCAAAATAAAGTTGATAGACACGAGACGTACGGGAAGTGTACTAGTACGTGAAATTCTTGTAATTATGAAGTAATATAATTATGTAAGCTGTCATTCTTTTCAGGTAATAAATTGAATTTATTACTTTTAAACAAGCATGAAATAATGTAGAAGTAAGTAGAGGACAAAATTGTTAACTGTTTCTCATGTCATCTTATCTGTGATGCCATACTCCTGCAGGAAGCTCCCTTGTTGAGAGACACTTTTTTGTAGGAAAAATACAACAAATATATAAAGGATAGACTTATTTACAATAAAATTATATATTAGAATTTTTCTTACAAAATATATAATTTTTTTTTTATTACTGCACTACGTACTTAGAAACAACAAATCACCTTTCCTAAATATTGTGGGTTATAGCACCTCTACTGGGCATGGCAATAATTGTGTCTGACATAATTAATAAAGATATCTTCCGAAGACCTGTTGCACCCTGACTGATCTTAAACTACTGTTTTGATCCACTTATTGTTAATATTTAAACTCAAAATATTACATAATTAGCTTGACACATTTGCAAAAACAACTGTGTGTTAAGTATGGCTTGTAAATTGACTGCCAAACCTAGCTGCTTCTTGATCGGGTCCCGATCTTTGAGTCAGTGGCCACTGATTCGTGTTCTCGTGCTGAGATGAGATACAAGGCAACTGCTTACAAAGCTGTTGCTGATTAGCTTCTCTTTCTTGCTTGGCAGTTTGTGCACTGCTGCTGTTGTTTGTGATACATTCAGCTATGCTGATAGAAAAGATTCCCTCTGAAGTTTCAATGATGCATCCAGTTGTATTTTAAAAACCTCATGATCTATCTAGTTTTCACTGTACAGAAATTCATGTTCCTGTCTTATTTAAAGGAGGTAACTTCCTTTGTATTGATTATGTTAATGATGCAAGAACGTCAATTTTACCATATTATGGAGTTTTGTAAACCAGTCGGTTCAGGTTATATGAATAATGTCTTCTGTACTGGAGTCATTTGGAGTATAGTCAGAAATATTTATTATGAGACATGATGGTTTTAAGCATGGTACTTTAGGAACTGAAATGCTGTACAATATATGTTGAAATTTCCCAAATTTGTTAGGTTTTTGTGATGTTTGCTTTTCTTTAAATTAGACATGATTGTTGAGGAGACAGACTTAAAGCTGTAAGGCAAATTGGATGACATTATTTACCAGACCCAGTGTGTTTGCTGCTATAAATAACATGATTAATCTAAGGCTATACCTAAGAACTTCCTCCCCTTTGACATATTTATTACTTAATTGAGCATAACTCCCCACATAAAAGAATAAAAATGCCAGCACGCATCATGAGGTGTGACAACAAAAGAGTTACATGGAAAAGTTCACTGTGAGGCTGTCACTCCCTCATAAGATGGCCAAATTTAGTTCATTATAGTTACAGATCTAAAGTTTTGGGGTAAATTAAACTTTATATTACACCTACAAAAGATACAATGGTAAAAAAATTAAATATGATTCTAAACTTATACATGTGTCACTGAACCCAGACCATTGGTTATAGACTGATAACTCAAGGACCAGTCAGAAAGGACTATTTGGTGGTTGTCAGATACGTGTTTTTGCAAAGCCTGTCACCAAAAAATATTGACATGGTTACTGGTATTTACAGTACAGTACTTGCATTATTGTACCTGCCCTCCCCCCATTGTCTGTAGGTGGTACAGTACAGGAAGCTCAAGGAGGGTGCTCTTGTGTAGGCTGGTTGGTTGACTGTTTTCCTGCTTGTCTAGATGATATGTCATGCTCTTTTTGAGAGTGGAAGCTAAAATCTGGACACAGTAATGACAAAGGACTGGCATTTTTTATCTTTACTCGTATTGTACACTGCCTCCCCCCTCTCCAGGTGTCATGAGATGTGCAGGGCCATACATTGATTGTAACACTACTGTACTTGTTTAAAATAATGTATCCTTCATGTAGGTAATTTTTGTTTTGATTATCTTTAATGAATGGGGCTAAAGTTTGAATAAGTTTTAGTGTATTTGATGATTTTTTTACTTAGAAAATTTTTCACCAGTATCAGACTTGACCCCTGTGGGTGCCACTTACAAAGTTACTTTTCCTCTTGAGCATATAAAGATGAAAAGGAAAGGTAAGTAAGCCTTTAAAACCTTTTATCAGGCCATTATCTCAGTGCTAATGCTTAATATAACTTCCTTTGCCTCTCAGGCAATGACAGATTTTTTATATAGGAATTAATATATGAAGATAAATTTTAAAATGGTGGTTTTGTATTTCATTAATATTTTTGGTGATTGTCAGTAGTATTTTGCTTTAAAGCTATGGGGATTATGTAGAAAAGTACTACTCCTTTTTAAAGATTTTATTTAAGGCCATCCATGAAGTAGGGAGATTCTCTGCATGGTCAGCAACTCATTGTTAAAGATCTTATTCTTCAAAGACTGTCACCTCCTTCATGGTGTTGTAACTTGTACCCAAATCTTTTTTTTTTTCCCACTTTACTCTGCAAGTTTACTTCTCGGTGCATTTTCTAAGAATAATTAGGGTTCATAAGATGGTGTTTGGTGTATATTTAAAAAGAACTGTTGCAATTTATACTGTATGAACTTGCCAAATTTGTACTGGTAAATGTACTAGTATGAATCTTTTGCTTGAGGATAGAGGTTTACTGTACTGCTATGATATTAAAATTCATGATACATTTCTCTACATATCCTCTCAGAATGTTTTCTTTTTTTACCATTTATCATTATGTAATTCTGAAATCTTGATTGTCAACTTTTTTTTCTATTTACAGAATACAATAGTTAATTCAGGGGTGTGATCGATTCTTCATAAAAAAAAAATCATATGTTAGATCTTATGCTTCCTTCTATGAAAAGATAACAAGTTAGAAATTAAACAAAAAAAAACATTTAAAGATACGAGTACAGGTAGTTCTGCTATAACGCGATAATTGTGTTCATGTAAAATATCGTGTTATAGAAAATCGCGTAATAGAAATAACAGGGCTTGTGGAGAAAATAGGGTTAGGTGCAGATTACTCGAAATCGAAAAAATTTAGTAGTTAGCCTAACACAAAGGATAGCACAGTCTAAATAAATGTTACATTCATATCTAATAATGAAATCATACAGTAAATGTAACACTTTACTTGATGGGGGAGAAGGGTGATTTTGAGGTTGATAAAATCGAGCTTCTCTTCAAGTGTTATATCCTTTCTTTTACGATCATCACCGGGAATTCTATCACCAGAACGCTTCTTGTTGATATTCTTCTTTACTATATTCACAGTTGGAGAAATAGTAAGCAAAAATCGCGTTAGAGCAAACAAGCGTTCGCGTTATACAAATATCGTTCCTAATTCATAAATCGCGTTAGAGAAAATTCGCGTTATCAAAACACGCGTTATAGCAGAACTCACTGTACTTAAACACACTTGGGTATTATGGCCAGTTGTCCTCCACACAGTTGTGATCCAAGGTGGACAGTTTATGACCTGGGAAAATATTTGTGTTCTCTCTGGAATATTACACTTCTTATGGTTCTTAAACTGAACTTGGGAAACTCATAGCATTACTGTGTTAGTTACTGACTAACTTAGCTGTATCTTGTACACTTGTGGGTGATTCACGATCTCTGCCACCCAGGGTCTACATTCTCGAAGCCTCGTGGATTATTTTTTTTATTTTTGTAAATGGGAATGATGGAATGCATTTAGTTGTGTAGTCTGTAGTACCTTTAGTGGTCCTAATTTTGTGTTGTGGCTTTATTTAGTCAGACAGATTCTTCCTCACATCACCAGTTAGGATGAAGGTTGGTGCATGTTTCACCCTTTTATGTGGGGAGAGATTTCATGGTGGTCATTATGATGGTCACAACCTGATGGTCCTTATGTTTAGTCTTCCATGGTGGTAATTGTTGTTGCCTTGCCTCTCCATTTTCTAAGATCTTATCAAAACAATCTCTTGGTTAATTTAAATGTCATCCAAAGTGTCTTGAGTGTCACCCAAATGCTGATAGTGACATGTCTCTTTAATATTGTAGTGAACTGATCTCCTGTTTAATGAAAAGTAACCAGAACTTAATGTAGTTCGTCCATTACGAGTTATACGTGTGTATTTCTAACCCCCACTTTAATATATCTTGTAAAACTAACTGTTTTATATAGTGTTCTGTTTTATTTATTTTATTTATTAAATTAAAATAAGGCTGCTCAGTATTTTTCATTGTATATCTATATGTATGGATTATGTATTTCTTGAGGTGAAGGGATTGTGGCCACATAAAAATGTGCAAACTACTGTACTTTATATTAGCCCCCAAGAGACATTTTGTTTTAGCCCCAAAGAGACATTTTGTTTATAACATCTTTACTTATAAGGTTAGAACAAACCCCCATTCATTTGGTGTAATAGGGGCTCCTGCCTTGCTAAAATACAGTAGACCCTCGCCATCCATAGATTTCCAATCCTGGGATTCCAGGTTTCCATGGTTTTTACTCTATATCATTTCACCAACCTCAACATTGAATTTTTACTATCCACAGATTAGTGTGGCGTATTATCCCTCCTCAGTCTGATGTTTTTCTCCTTGGTAAATGTGAGGAATGAATAAAAATAATACGGTACTCATAAATAAAAGAAAATAAATAATACTGCATTGCCATTTGGCAGTGGTTTCACTAAGGACATGGGAGACAAGAGTGCACTAGTGAGACACAACTAGCACATGGTGATGGCTGTCGGTGTTATTCATCCTTATCATAATTTTAATTTTTTTTCAAAAGCTATGCGAGGTTCCTAATAAAAATAGTAAGATAAATGTTGCAGGTATGATATTAATAGATAGTAATGCTTGTAAGAGTTGAGAAATAGTTACTGCTTTGCCCTGAGGAGTTGGGTGCCATATGGAAGCTACCGGTAATCATTGCGGGTTATCTTCCTCGGTAGTTGTAACTCCTACATTTATATTTACAGTAATTCCTTTTTTAATTAATTAAAGGTAATAATTCAGTGGAGCCTTGATAATGTGCAGGTTAGGTACCAGAAGACATTGTGAATTATCAAATTACGAATTATAGTTTGTGATTTAAATGGAAATACCGGTAATTAGTTTGGTACCAGAGGCCCAAAAAATTCCCATATATGTTCCAAAATTGCTTTAATTAACACTAAATATCATACAAAGATCTTGTACAAAAAAGTAGTTCTGTATAATATAAACTGCTCCTTTCCTTCCTCCTAGTCATCCTGTGGGTTACTCCAATACAACATCTCGGTTTCTTGACCACGAGAGAGGCAAGCGGTCTGCCTATACCGACAAAGAACCAGGAATATCTCTGGAAAATTTATTGCTCTACAGTAATGTCTTATTAACCCAGTACCAATTGAACCTATATAATATGGGATTTACGGTGAAATTGCAAAATGTTGTATTAATAACATCAGAGGAGCGAGGAAACGAGCGAGGGAGGGAGGAGGATTGGGGGGGGGGGGTTCAGTCCACCAAATTCGAGCATTGAAGTGATATTTATATTATATTTTGTCTATTTCTAAGTCGAATTAGACCATTGAAAAGATATTCCCACAACTTTTATGGCTTATTATGTAAATAAACACCGCAGCAGCCGGCACTTGACAGCAAATTATGATATTTAACTGCAAAATTTAAGAGAGATAGTAATAGAGGTATCCTTCAATTGAAGAATGCAAATTTGGATTTTGCCAATTATCACGACTCCACTGTAATGTGTTTAAACAAACAATAACATATTTTCTAATTCTGGAGTTCAACTTGGCAGAATTTAGCCTACTGGAAACAGCAACTTGGGGTTTCATTAGCCTGCAGGAGACACCATCTTCACCTATAGGATGCGAGGTGATTATTTTACCCATTTTTCATATATAAGTGCATCTTATATGCCATACAATTTTTACAGTAGTTCCTTTTACCTTACTCTAGCATTTTGGTTAACTTCACTGTTATGTTAATATCAACCAAGCTTTGGGAGCTCATATAAACACTTTTTATCATTTACCTTCAATTAGAAAAGTACACTAGTGAAGGCATCTGATCATAAAGGGAGGATCAATCCCCAAATTCCTTTGTACAACTGAACCTGGGTTTCCTCCTTATAGTATCTTTGAAATTAGCTTGTGGCCGATGTCTGCAGAGATTAGGAGTGTGACTGGCTCATCAGCATTTTGCCTTACATGGCAGGTTTTGCTGCCATGATGCTCTTTTAAGAAATAACTCTTAAATGTCATGGTAACTAGGTTAAAGTATTTTTGCTGGGTGGATCTGGTCCATGGGTTGTACTTTGTTTACTGCTGAGCTAGACCATATGTCTTGTGCTTTTTTTATTAAGGCATTAAACTCACTATTTGGGCCGTTTCCCTTGGTTGCCTGTCCTCAGGGGCATTATGATTTTTAATGGCCCTGTGATGGAATTCGGTTCTGGCTGTCATTACTATGAGGGGGGCTGGGCATCAGCTACATCCTACATTAGTTGTTGCTGAGATAAGCTAACTGTACATAAAGTTTGCATGGTACTGAGGAGTTGTTAATTGGAATTCTTTGCTTTCTGCTGTTTTGTTAGAAACATTATTCCCCTTGTGGCCTTTGGAGCTAGTTTTTACTTCCTTCTTCCCTGTATTTGGTTGGTTTTATGATAAGTTAGTTGCCTAAGCCAGCCATTAGGATATAAGTGAGACTGATCCTGAAATCCTTTTTTTATAGCAGAGTGCAGATTAGGCGACTCAGTTGACATCCCTCTTCCTGTTTGGTAACATGGAGGTGGGCTGGAACTGAGAGTTGAATTGATGAATTGACAATTTGTAACAAAGCCAAAGGATAGTCGTTTTGGACACTGTTAGTTTGGCAGCTGATGCCTCCAAGACCCCTTTTTAACACCTATGGTTGTGACAAAATTTTTAGACTTTATATACCGGTAATTACCATTGTTTCAGCCATCAAGGTCAAAGGACCTAGGCATGTAACCTGTGGACTTGGATCCAGGCTTTCTTATTAGATGGGATTTCAGGGTCAACTCCTCATTTATTATGAAAATTAAGCAACAATATTTGATATACGGTGATATCCCTGTTAGCCGGAACAATTGGTGCAGAGCACTTCCTGGAATGAGAGATTTCCGGGTAATGAGACTACTCTCAAAGCCGGGAAAAATATCCCTCATCCCCGGAATTTTCTGGGTATCGGGAAAATTTTCTCGTAATTTTCCGGAAAATGTGCCCCTCGGAAAATCGTTCCCAACGCCGGAATTTTCTGGAAAATTCCGGCGTTGGGAACGATTTTCCTTGAAAATTTAAAATCCGGAGAGTTCCGGGTTTAAAGAATTCTTTCTAATGGAGATATTACTGTAATTGCTAAAGAATTTGTGTATTATTTAGGTTGTCATAAAAATATATTGGTTCATTTACCAAGAGAAGCACGTGAAAAGATGGGGATAGTTTCACCGCTCAAGATACTCAGCAGACTAATAGGGCTTGTTAACTGCCTTGATAAGATTGATGATATTTGTCAGCCTTCAGAATAATTTTAACCTTAGCTTAGAAACTGATCGTTGGCTTTAGTACTTTAGTAGTTTGTCCTTTCCTTTATATTTCCTGTACAGTGTTTTCCAAATGTTTATTTCATGTTTTCTCAATGACATTGCTTGATCTGATGTTTGATCCTGAACAATATTAATAAGTCTAAAATAATTTTAAGTTCTTGTTAAAATGGCAATGTGGCCTGTATGTGTGGCATGTCATAAGTAACATATGCAGGTCATATTCAGTAAGATGATGATGATATCAAATGACTACCAATATAAACTAAAGTGTGGAAAACACTGATTTGTATTATCCTTTTTATGTTTCCTACTCTATGTATTGTAGGTGGAAATACTAACCTTGGAGGAGCATAGGTGTGGCAGGAGTGTACACCACGCCATTTGTCTCATTCCACAGACGGGAGCTGTGAGTCACGCCAGCTGAATCATAATTCCTCGCAGGTGCTGCTCCCTCCTTTAGTTGCCACCTCCGACTGCACCACCACAGCCACCTACCACTACGCCTACGCCCGCACCTCCACCACGCCTACGCCCGCACCTCCACCACAGCCACCTACCACTACGCCTCCGCCCGCACCTCAGCCTTACAAAGCCGCTTCCTAAAAGCCTGATTTGTTTATTAACTTTTTGCAACTGTTTACTACCAAGACCTTCCTCTCACAGGTTCATACTAAGAAAGGATTGGCTTTTATTTTTTATCTTGTTAATATGAGAGGGATTGAGAAGTCCTTCACCTTAGGTGTGATTGTGGCGATGATATAATAACAGTACTACATTATTGCTTAGTTATAATCATTCTGTGAGGAAATTAAAAGGGATTTGAATAAGATTACTGTAGCCAGTATGATTGATGTCATTGAATGGTGCACATTAAATAGATTGTAATTTACTACATTAATACTCAGTAACCTTGAAAAAGACCAAGATTAGCTTACAGATATGACATGCTCCATAACTTTTAGTGATTGCTCAAGGCTGCTTTGTGTAGTTGCATCTTGGGAGTCTCTGCTTTTCAGGATATTTTCCAAACACCAGACAAACTAGCAAGAACCGTGGGAAGAGTGGCTGTCTTTGAGTAATGGGTAAATGGGGGAAAATCTACAGAGATTGGTATGGTTTGGGTTCATGTTCCCCCATACTGCAATATAGAAAGGAAATCCTATTTAGATGCCAATATATTGTATTACAGTACATATATGGAACCATGTTACACAGGAGTTACCAATGTTGTGTTAGTGAGATTGTAAACAACCTAGACTGAAGATGAACTACAAAGATTACTGTTAATCATCCCAACAGTATTTTATCAACATACTGCACTTCTGTAAAGTTAATTTTCAGCTGTGGCACAGGCCAAAATTCAAAGGAGCTCCTCTAATGCTTAATTAATCATAGGCATAATTTTTTTATCCTTTAGCAAAGTAATAGGAGAGAGAATGATGGAGATATGGAGCAAATAAGTGTTTTTGGTGTTAGAACAGTATAGCTAAAGTGTATTATTTTATGTGTGCAAATTACTTGTAAGTCATTTTCATTTTGAGGATCTTATTGTTGCTAAATAGTTGTAAGGTCTCTTCAGCTTTAGATATTAGAGTTTGTTTAGCTTGTATATACTGTATATTTTATTCACCAGTGAATGGAATCAGAACTGTAAATGCTGAAAGTTTACAAAATGCAGTTTTTTTCACATTTGTTATGATTGATTAATTTGTGTACATTTTTTATATATTACAAAGGTCAGGTTTAGAAGCACATTCAGGTCTTCTGTAAATATAATATGATTACAGTACTACATAATTTAGTATAACTATCTTTCAAACATAATGCCATAACTTGAAGGTTTGCAGTGACAAGAACTAAAACAGAAATAATCTTTAACTTCATTTTTATAAGAAATATGTAAACAGGAAATAATTTTTTGAGATGTTTGTAGACTTTGGTTTTTCAAGCACTGATATATTTTATATACAAATCAAACAAATAATTAGTGTTAAATTGTTTATTTTATGCCATAAATGAGTCACCCCTGAAGTAAGGAAATGCCAAATTTTTAGGTTCAGTAAGTACTTTGCATATACAGTACAGTCGAATCCCAGTTATCCGGTATTCAAGCAACCATTAGATTCAACTAACAGGCACCAAAATGAAATAATAATACTGTACAGTAATACTGTAATTGAAATAATAATTCCCCCAATATCAGTAGGGTTTGTAAGTTTGAATACAGCACACAATGGGATGAGCTGCCATATTTAATGCTATGATAAACAATAAAATTGAAACATAGAATATAAAATACAATACTGTAGTACTGTACATATATTATGAAAAAAATATAACTTCTTCCTCACTCAAACCATCATCTGGGCAACATAACAGTTCAAGCAGTCACCCAGCTGACACACAGATATGTGGCTGCCTTGCTGGCTGTGTGTATATCCTAAAATGGATTAGGGCATGTTTACAGGATGGGAAATGGCGAGTAAGCATTAGCAGCACTTAATCCAATTTGGGAAACATCACTAGTGGAGTACCCCAAGGCTCAGTACTCGGACCAAACATAATCATTAACTCGAATACACTAGATAGCTTCAAACATAGGCTGGATGGATATATGAGTGATAGGGGCTGGGTGTAAATGGGACTGCTCAGTATGGGTCAATAGTTACTGTTTCCTCCACTCTTATGTATACCATGACCTCACATCGGGAGGGAGTGCGGCCACATATTTATAGCCCAGTAACCCACAGCCTCCACACACATTCACTTCCTACATATACACACTCATGCTCTTCATTTTTCTTTTTTTATAGTTTTATATTATATTTTCTTTATTTATAAGCCACATCGTCTATATTGAGTGGCATACGTGCTAAAGAAGTCTGTTTTTCTGAGAACATGAGTTTGTGAGGTCAGCCTGTAGCACTATGCATTGTAGGATTTAATGGGGGATCCTAAGATTGAGATTCAACTAACAGGAAAATTACTTTATCTAGTACAGTACCTCTCGACCCCTGTAGGTGTCGGATAACTGGGATTCTACTGTAATTATGTAGAAGTTATTAAATTATTTTCCAGCTGAATGTCGTGGCTTGTGAATTTACATTGACTGAAGCAGATTCTCTCATGAGTATACGTACAGTAATTGGAATAGCCATCGGCAAAGGCAAGAAATGGTATTGTACCTGGGATAATGCGAGTACTGAGGCTGTGATGATGTTATATTTAGAGTCGATTCAATATTTCAGAACAGAGAGCTGATTAGACATTGTTTATTTTGTGGAAGATTCAATTGTTGAATTGGATATCTTGTGTTAGGAGATAGTCTTTTATTTGTCCATATCTCAGATGTACAGTACTGTGCTTTTCTGTACTTATAATCTAAGGAAGGAGTACAGGTCAATGAAGTACAAGGTGAAGTGGTGCTTTGCTGTTTGTGTCAAACTTTTTTATTGAGCATGATTAATCTTGGCAAGGGTATGTAGTGGCTCCATATGGCCCACTGCTTTAAACCAAATAAGAGTCCTAACATATAAATTAATAAATATTGATAATTTCTTCCTGGGAAACAGTATCTCTCATATACAATACTGTACTTAATAAAAACTTGACCATATTATTATTGTTTCTGTGCTTTGCATTGCTGTGTAATTGAGGCTAATGGCAATTATTTACTGAAGACGGTGACTTATAGCTTTTCAAAACTAATTTATCTTTTTTAGCTACTGCAAATGTTATGCCAGTTATAAGTATGAACATAGTTCATTTGCAATGGAAATAGAGCTTTGTTACCATTAGTCTGAATGTGTATTGTCATAAAGATTTTGTGCAAATTCAATATATACAGATAATATGCATATTTGTGTTACACTTGCTGTATTTGGTCCATATTCATAAATGATACATGAAAAAGTGCTCACTAGCTTAGATCAATAATGGCTGTTCCCAGACTTAAGTATAATGGATTCAGAGGTACAGAGGGCAAGTCACCTAGCTAGGCCCCAACTGTCAGACTAATTGTATTTAAAACCTTAAAATGAAAATGAGGTCCTCACACTGTTAGAAGAATTTTCATTTTTGGTACAACAAAAATGAGAAATGAATACTAAGGTTGCAGAGGTTCAGTACTGGTTGTCCCTGAGTTACAAACTCTCATCTTATGAACAACTGCACTTAAAATGGGATTCCAATATATTCATCACAAAATCTGTTATTAAATTTGGTTTTGTACATTAATTTTATATTGTTTAACATCACTTTATTTACAGTATTTATGGATAACCCGTTCGTAACTCGGGGACTGTCTTTATCCCGTACTACTCATCCCAGCATATTTTTAAATACCATGTATGTACTGTATAACTGTACACACTTGTACTGTATAGTCCTCCTTATACCTGGCACTTGTATAAGAACTGATGAGCCTTTTTATTATATTTAATTAGGTACACAGAAATACCTGTACTCGGTAAATAACACTCTTAATACCATTAATGTTTCTGTATTTAATTTAGAATTATGAATGGCTTCAGATAACTAAAATATTGAAACAAACATGAATGACAGGTCTTATGTGTGGCTAAGGTTCTCCATTGACAGTTATACTTTGATTGTATCAGAGGTGTGCACAGGTGGAAAAATTTAGGTAGATTTCCTCCACTACAACCAGCAGAGAAATTTAGAGATAGCTGTGAGCTGTGATGAAGGCTCTAGTGTGGTGGCTTTTATTCAGGGATTTTTGTTCTGTTATTTTACAAGTCAGAAATGTAGTTATATTTTGCTGTTGATGGTGTTTACAATGATTAGGTGCAGGGATAACTTGGTTACAGATTTTTTTTTCAGACTTTATATTTATCAGTCTTGTAAATAGAATAAAAAAATTAAGTAATAAATTTCCAGTGTTAGAGGAAAAAGTAAATGATTACATCCACTCAAGATTAGCTCATACATTGACAGGTTTTGTAGCAAATATTGTATTTGGCATTACATACTTTAATAAATAAATAAAGTACAGTTTCAGTTTCTACTGTGATGTAATTTTAGGCACAAAAGTAAATGACTGAATTGATATGAAAAAAATGGTAAATGATCACATTGTGGATTTGTTTTTGCTCTGAAGAAAATAAAGGATGGAAAGTAAACTTGGTGTAGAACTATTTTATATAGTAAAAACCCTCTTAATCCGGACTAATAGGGGAGAAATCCAGTCGATATTAAGCGAATTTCTGGATAAAACTATATCCGGAAGGGGTTTATTAAATTCAGATAAAGCTGAGAAAAATCTGGATGAAAAATCCAAATTGCCATCTGGGGCACAGGAACTTCTAATATTGTATTACTAGCTTTATTTACATGCCAGTTGTGCTGCTTTGTGGACTAATTACAATGTCTTCTAAAGGCAAGACAACTTAAAAAGGAAGTCAGAAGAGGACCAGAAAGAAGTTTGGCTTGAAGGACAAGCTAACAGTTCTGGAAGATCACAAGAAAGGTGTGTCTGCAAAAGGTTTGATGGAAAAATATGACTTGAAAAATCAATCGACTACGATCTTATCCGGAACAAAGATAAGGTGAAGATGGCCTCACGGGAAACTGAAGCAGCTGTTGGTCAACAAATAGTGTTTTGTGTGTGAAATGCTGCCTTTGGTGATTTGGACCAGGCAGTGTACAAGTGGTACAGCCAACAGCATGCTGAAGGTATTTTGTTTATTTTTGCCACCAGGTGGGAAGATCGTGACTCAATCTGGTTTAACAAATTAGTCCAGAGTGGTTTGCCTGTCTGGATAAAGCAGAAATTTGGATAAAAAGAATCTGGATTAAGAGGGTTTTTATTGTATACAGTATGCTACTATACAGTATACTTATAGAATTTCAATGTTCAATGAAGTGGGCCCAACAGGTTAAATTAGTACAGTATCACAAAATTGGTTAATTATGGACAGCTCACTGAATTTATGACCTTCCCTCATGACAGATACTGTATTCAAGCTCTGTGTTAGCTTTTTGTTATATAGCTGGATGGATGTGTAGGTTTTTGATGATAAAACTACTGTACTATGATAGGAATATGAAAGCACAATGTTTAAGCCAGTGACAAACAAGTTTTTGAAATGTGCATAGTGTGGCTGTGATAAGAACATGCTTCATTACTTATCTTTAATTAGTGCAGTGTTACAGTATATGGTGACAGTAGGTTGCAGTACTTGAGAAAGGCTGGGACTTTGCTGACTGAGAGCTGAAGTGTGTCACTGCTGGTAGGCTGCATTCATATACTGTATTGGGGTGGTGGTTTGTGCTAGTTGGGAGTGGTCATTATTTCATATAAATTTGCTATGAGTTTTAGAGGAGCACGGAGTATGTGAACCCTGAGCTGGGTTGACAGTACTTGTATGAATTTCTACTTGAATTGCATCAGGCAACACAACCCTCTTTTTGCCTAAACTTGATCTAAGGTTTTGAGTTTGCATGTCTAAGTGTACTGGATTGTACAGTACAGTACTAAGTTTTTGCTGATATGAATACTTGTACTATTGTTTTTTTTCCTGAAGAATAATTTATAATTAGTGGAATCATTTCCATTCACAACTGATGGATAACAAAAGATTTTAGAGTGTGCATCACATTGAGTTGATAATAATTCATCAAACTGAAAATGAATTGTAAAATATTGGAAGCTTATTCCCCCAGGTACCATGCTGCCACTTTGGGTGTGGAAGGATTATCTTTTCACATTTGTATATACAGGTAGAAAGAAAAACTTTAGGAGTTTCTCTGATATTTCTGATATGTTCCTGCTGTACAGTGTGTGTGTGTGTCATTACAAGTGTATTTCATTATGTGGAAGGTGAATTTTCAAGGAATTATCTGATGTGTCCTTTCAATATAGGTTTAATTAAAATGATTTAGCTATTTGCTGTTAGTGTAGTGTTTGTATTGATCATCATAGTATACTCTCTTGATGAAGCAAATCGCCATCTTAATTCGTTGTTTCCTAAAAATTTTGGTTTGCAAATTTTATCAGTTTCTTGAAATGTACATAATGCCTAAGGTAGTCCTAGAAGTGCCTGGACCTGGTAGATGTTAGTCATATGCGCTAATTATTTTGTGGTGGTATTTAATATATCATATCTTTAACATGATTGTGGATGCTTTTGTAAGTTCATCTGGTTCATCATGGGGTGTATGTATTGTAGAGTGACAGTGTATAGGTACATGAATTGATGTTCCTATCTTTGATTTTCTTCTAAGTCCTGTGATCAGTTAGCAAGAAATGAAGGACACTGATGATGTGATTATGTACTGAATTTTTACAATATAACTGTAAAGGCTCAAGACAGTGCAGTTTATTTTATTATGAATAGTTTATTAGCCAAACTGAAAAATGTAATTGTTATAATGATGGAAGTACACCTATAACACTATTGTTCATGCAGTATGAGATTTATGTGAAGGTTTAAACTTGTGGAAAAGAATTCTTGGTTCATAGACTGACTGTGAAGTACCTGGTAATAATAAGTTAAGAAGTTATTTTGTTCTGGATGCTTGTAGATTGATCTTAACATAATTAGTGTAAGGAACCATTATATTGGCCAAATGAATCCTGATAATGGGGGGGCTTCATTCCTATTTGACATGTAAATCAACTTTGTATAAGAATAATAGGCAACATTCTTTATCAAGTATAGGAAACATTTAGGTTTAAGGATCCCAAAATAAGAATTGCGTGTTTGACTTGGTGCAGTATATCACACTAATGTGGGAAAAAATGGCTCACTAGTGTTGCTGCCTGTGCCTTCAAAATGTGACAATTTATTCCCAGTAAGTAAATTCGAAATACAGGTATTGTCAAACGTCTTTATTACTTCTCACACCACAAACAGTTTGTAACAGTGTAGGTACAGAACTTGGTTATTCAGTCTTTTCAGTAACATCAGCTTTGATAATCTAATTATATTTCATTATACTGTTTGTGCAGAATCCTTCTCAAATCTCTAGCTACAAACTGTCTTGAAGTGTTAAAGAGGCCCAGCAACAGTGCTGAAGAAGCCGACTCTTTTAAATCCCTATTTTTGTAAATGTAATGGTTAACTAAAAACCAGGTACCATTAAAAGAAAGATTATACCTGTACAGTATATACAAAGAGTACTGAAGAATTCTGCATGTTGTGATGACCATATACTGTACCGTAAGTGAGAAAGTTGTTGGCTGCTTTCCCCTCAAGAGATAAAAGTACACTTGAGACTAATGAGCATACGAAGCCAGTACATACAAGGGGAAAGGAGTAAGTAAGGAAATAGTAAAACGGAAGTAAAAAAAATTTAACAAAATAAATGATCTTTTAAGGGTGCCATATTATGACAAAGAATAATATCATAGTTTTACCTCCTCCAATATTTGTAGGAAACATTGTAATGCAGTGTTGTATCTTCCAGCAGTTGATGCGGTACCTAAAATAAGAATTTTAGTATAGAAGAATTGGTGCCAGTACACACACAATAATTCCTGGCTTACAAGAGTCTAAATTATATACAGCACTTCTAATTGTATTACTGTACACAGTCTTAGTTGAAGCTGATGTAATAGCACCAAAAGTATTTTGAAATAATGTTTTTTTTTTTGTTTTTTTTTGCAGTTTTGATATATTTTACATTAACATTCTGACTGTATTTTGAATCCGTGGTTTCAGATTAAGTATTAATCAGATATTTATGCTAAAGCAGAGAAAGCAATGTGGGGTCACTACATAATGGAAGAAAATTGCAGCAATTCAGCATTTTGCTATGTGACATTTATTAAATTAATGCACTGACATCTGACTGTGATTTTATTCTGTACTATATGAAATAACTAAGATGAACTTGATGTATTTTAGTGAAATTTACACATAACTGTTCTTTTTGCACATCTACTGTACTTCAAGTACATTGCAGGTATACTGTACTCTGTATTATACATTGTTGAGTCTTGTCCATGACCCACTGCTTGCTGATTGTACGCTGATAGAAACTGATAATGTACTGTACAGAACTGTATGTTTATTTTTAGACACTTTGTTTCTCTTCTAGTACTTGGGATTGGAGTCACAGCTTTGCCAATAGATGCAGAAAATTAGAGCATATTACAGTACAGTACCTTATTGACTGATGTAATTGTGATTTATTGTACTGTATTTGTTGTTGATTCCAACCATAAACTGGTGTTTATTATTCTACAGTGTATGGGTGGTAGTAAGGAGCACCTGATACAGTGAATGGGTGGTAGTAAGGAGCACCTGATACAGTGTATGGGTGATAGTAAGGAGCACCTGATACAGTGTATGGGTGATAGTAAGGAGCACCTGATACATACAGTGTATGGGTGATAGTAAGGAGCACCTGATACAGTGTATGGGTGATAGTAAGGAGCACCTGATACAGTGTATGGGTGATAGTAAGGAGCACCTGATACAGTGTATGGGTGATACAGTGTATGGGTGATAGGAGCACCTGATACAGTGTATGGGTGATAGTAAGGAGCACCTGATACAGTGTATGGGTGATAGTAAGGAGCACCTGATACAGTGTATGGGTGGTAGTAAGGAGCACCTGATACAGTGAATGGGTGGTAGTAAGGAGCACCTGATACAGTGTATGGGTGATAGTAAGGAGCACCTGATACAGTGTATGGGTGATAGTAAGGAGCACCTGACTCTTACATCTTGGCTGTACTTCCTCATTTCTTATTGTCTACTGTTTATATAAAGTCTTTTTGGGAGTGATGAATAATTTTTTTGTTGACTAATAATTTTGTTTCTAGAAAATAGGTTTGGGTGATAAGCCATCCATTTAGTGTTTCATAAGCCTTCAAAATTTGTTATGGAGTGATTTTATAGACCTCATTTGTTAATTCTCCAGATTAAAAGGTATCAGGCCCAGATGTTATACATGCCCAGTTCTTACAAACTGTTAACACAGCTTTGATTATAAACATTTGATCTCATGAATTGCACAACAAAAAATGATACCTAGAAGTTATACTGCAGTAGTGACAGAAAGGTAGAAAAAAAGATAGGTAAGCTGATATGACCAGCTGTTGCTGTACTGTACATGACATGGTGTAGGTTATTACCAATTGATTGTTTTATTAACTTAGTTTTTGAAGAAATCTTTAAGTTATTGATAATGTTTGTATTTTGGTGAATAATGAGGCCCTATTATTATTATTATTTGTTTTTTTGCAGTAGAGTAGAAGCAAAGCTTTTGTTGAACTATGGTGTGTATGATCACCGAGTGCTGTACTGTAAAACCTTGCTAGTCCAGAGTAAGTGGAGGAGGGGGTCTAGACTAACTGAAAGATCATACCATCCATAATGTATAGAAGAAAATTGCTATACAAGTTAATAAAGCACAAACCTGTAACATATAAGACAGTAGTTATTATTAATGCCACAACCACCCAATGCTGGCATCAAAACTAGAAATACCTAAATGTGTGATGAATCTTTTAATGACAGACTGAAACTCAATAGCACCACTAGAACAGTGTTGCACGTAGCACCTGTTAACAGCTTCTTCCAGTAGTGTATCCCAAGTTGTTTGTCATTCTTGTTGACACAGTGCTTCTACTTCCAGCACTGATATCATATTTAAAGTAAGCTTATATATTTTTTTTTATTTAATTATTTATTTTGATCAGACATTGTTTAGATACTGCAAACTCTTCCACAATCTTGCTCCCGCCAAGCCACTTACAAGTATCTCTGTTAACTTTAACTTTTGTGTTGTAGTTATGGACACATGTTTCCTGCTTTTCTCTTGGGACCCTTTTTGAGCACTATATACAGTACAGTGTTGAAGGTTAGAAAAGAGAACAGTTTGTAAGAATACTCTGCCTTAGATCTCCTCACCACTCCACAGATAAACATTAACTGATGTCACAGGGTAACTCATGGCCAGAAATAATCCAGATAAACTTAAGTCCAGACCAGTGGAGTCTGGATTAGTGAGGTTTCACTGATCAGCGTGCAGTGTTTTATCATTTTGAAGATTGCTTATAAAATTCATTTATTAAAAGTCTACAGTAAACCCCCATAATTCGAAATAGGGGCTTTACCCCCTTAGGAATTACGAGATTTTATTAAACATGATGGACACCTTCTCCTGAGGGAAAAAGAAACAATAACAACAATAGTAGTTTTCCGTTATCTGCCAGATTTAGGCACTTGGTCCATGGTTATCAAATATAATGGCTTAAATACTGGGTGGGCATTGATGGGAAAACAAGTGAAAAAAAAAGCTTGCGCAGTAGACGAACTAACCAACACGAACTGACCATGGCCGACAAGTCTGACACGAGTGATGCACGTGAATAAGTACTGTACTTTGTTTACACTGAGAAGGGCAGTCGGTGGTCGCATCCCATGGCGACACGTGCATCATATGTATTTGTGGATGTTTCGGAATTCAAAATTTTACCAAATATGAAATTTTTAATGAACAGGTATACAGTACTGTAATCTTAATATTTTGTCTTTTGTTATTTCAAAATTTTGCCAAATATTATGACATTTTTAATACAGTACAGTATAGATATACAGTATTTTGTAACCGCAAAACAATATGATGAGTGATTTTGAATTAGAGGGTAACAAATTGTGGGCTTTTTACTGTAATTGTAAATTATCTACTGTATATTATTTAAGCATGTATTTTAAGTTGGCATTATTTTTCTTAATACAGTACCAAAGAAAAGGGTAAATTTATTTTTGCATAGTTTTGATTAGTTTATTTGGGTAAGTTTAATAAAAAAAAATAAGTACTGGTAAATTTACTGTACTGTACAGTATAGGTATTTGAGTTAAAACAGGGAAGCTAACTGAGTACAGTAAAGCATTACTGTACTGTACTGTACTGTACTGTACTGTACATTACTACAAGGAATTCATTCGGGTGAAATTGCTTTTTGAATTATGAATGTATTGTTAAGGGAAACTTTTAGCTTTTACATTCTTCTATACTGTACTGAAGATAATAAATTCTCATTTCTTTTATTTTGGTTATTTTTTCATGATTAACAAAAAAAAAATTTGGTTGCCCAATCAGAAACTAGGGTACTGTACCTAATTTTTCTCTAAAAAATTTCAATATTTTTTTTCTTGAAAAGGAATGAGAAGATAAGTGAATACTACAGTATAGTACTGTATTGTACTGAGATGGAGTAGCAATATTGAAAGATTTTCTTTCAGATACAGTAATTCTGAATGTTCTTCCACTGTGCCTGCCTGTGGCACACATGCCATGATCAGTGGATGATGTGATATTCTCCTAGAATTATTTTGACATTTTAGTTTTTAATCTATGGTACTATGCTTTTCTGTATATGCTATATCTCACTTCAGATATTTGATGGGCATCCATCTAGGAGAGAAGAGGCTTTTTCATTCGGGGTCAAAACTAGCACGGTATTGTATATTGTAACTGCTTTTGGCCGCCTCATAACTAATAGAGTTAACACCATTCCAAAGGACTTGGGGTGGAACCTTTGTTCTCATAACTGTGATTGCAAAACTCTACCAGAAGTTTGATAATCATGTAATTTTGTCTGAAAAAATATTTAAATATTTTTTCAGTAATTATTTTGCCAAAAAATATTTTCATGGTTTCCCATGAGATGCATAGTAATGCCTCCCCTGATGAGGAGCTTGTTAGGTCAGTGCTCAAAGTGGTACTTGACAGCCTCTAAGCATGTTTCTTCTTGTCTAATAACATTAAGCACAATTGTACCCAGTGCCCATGTCCCAACAAGTACAGTATTGTATTCTGTACAGTATATCATTGGAAATTTTGATCATTTAACTTTGCAGGAGAAAAATATTAGAAAACAGTATTTCACTGTAATGTTGTAATACTCCATATGAGAGTAGCATTAGTATGTCTAGCTTATATTTAGTGTTACTTTTTTTTCTGTGAAAATTTGCTGATTCATCTTTTTATGTGAAGATAAATGCAACATAACTTTTATTGAATGTCTTGTTTAAGAACATAGAATCTCTTATTTTATAAGTATGATTAAACAACTATTAAAAGATACTGTGTTAGTGTATGATACACCATGTTGAAAACAAGACTCACGGCAAATTAGTCGTTTGTAATATGAATTTGTAAAATTTTCTTCTCTCTAATTTTTGGCCATAAATAAATCTCATGTAAAATATTGTATTACATGTACAACATTTAATTGTTCTTTTAATTGGAATGCATTTAGAGGAGATTGAACAGCTTAATAGCAATACAGTCTTGTATTTGACAAAAGGCTTGGATATACTGTAGTAGGGTAATGTGCAAGTCTTCAAAACTTACATTATTTTTGTCATACCTTTTGGAAGAAATGTTTCTCTCATCTATTTCTATAAAGAAACAGTCTTCATTTTTCCTTTTTTTTTCCATCATCAAATGGTCAGAATGTGTACTCCACCATCTTGCCAGATAATCATCTTTCAACAAAGATGCTGTGGCCTTTGTGTGCCTAGTCAACAAATTGAAAGAATTCCTGACTGGCTGAATTGTGACTGGTTTTAACAAGAACAAACCTCTGAGCATTGCCAAACATTGCCTGTTCATGCTGAATTACACACCACCAGTACAGTACTCAGGTGGGTTTGCTTTGCTGTAGGAAACCCCCCAAATTAAGGTGACAACGATTAACTAGAAGTTTAAGCTATCCTGCACCCCCACAGTAACCATTGCCTATAAATGAAGGAAATTACAAGCTTAAGGTTACTTCATGACTGGAAGCCTGACAAATTATGCACCTCGCAGCTTACTGCACAGTCTAAACCATATATGTCTTTGGTCTTGAAGCAAGTGCACAGTACCACACCCTCAACACTTTTATTGAAGGAAGCTAAATGTTGGCTGCAGGTATCTTAGTGTGGACACTGGGTTTTTGGGCTGATGCAATACAGTAATCACCATTGTATATCAGGCAAGATAAGAATTTTGTAAATTTATATGAAAACAAAATAATCACCTGGAAAGCATGTTTGTTAGAGGGATCAAACATGGCATTAGGTATTTTCCAGTGGGTGGCTTCTATCATTTTTCAAAGTTTCTGGGCTCAAGATTCTTTGGCTTTTAAGGTTGCTTCAACAAGATTTAATGCTGTTGATGAGGAAACTTCCCAGACATTTTGCTCATCTACAATGGGTGTTGGATATTCTTGAGGTTAATGTAGGTGACATTATGTTTGGATGCAATTTAGTGGTTAGTACAAGTTGGTTTAGTTTTACAGTGGACAGTTGGGGGTGATGGTTCTCTGGCTCTTAGGAGATTTCTTACCTCGGTAATGTGAAGGAACCGATAGTGCTCCTCATTTTAATGAAATGCTCATTTCTCTTGTAGACAAATTTCATATGAAATATTTCTTCTTGCAATGGTCTCATGTTCTGTTACTGGGGCACTGTAGATCGATTCAGACTCTCTTTTGGATTCTTTCGGTATGAGTTTGTTCATCAGGGGACTTGATCACAGTTTAGCGTAAGTGCCAGCTCACATCTTTTGTTTAAGCTATTCCTCTGGAGAGTTCTGCAGAAGT